TTGTTTCTCCAGCTTGTCTCCCTTCATGACTTCGCTCTTGGCTGCCGCTGCCGCCTTGTTTCCCAAGCTTGTCTCCCTTCATGATTTCGCTCTTGGCTGCCGCTGCCAGCTTGTCTCCCAAGCTAGTCTCCCTTCCTGATTTCGCTCTTGGCTGCCGCTGCCGCCGTGTTTCCCAAGCTTGTCTCTGTTCCTGATTTCGCTCTTGGCTGCCGCTGAGGCCTTGTCATTTTCTTGCCTGCCTTTGACGCGAATGCTGTTATAAGTGTCTTGTGTACCTTTTCCATCCTTTCCCCGGCTTTGAGTGGGATGTCTCCCAAGCTTGTCTCCCGCTCTTGCCATGGTGTCCAACTTTTCTTGAAGTGCTATCTGGGGTCTATGCCGGTATAATTACATGTGCAAACCTCATGTTTAGCGGAATGAGGTTCCTTTGTTGTGGAGTCGCAATATTGTAAGCTCTCTTCCTCCAGCTGCGGTCGCCCCACCATGTGCGAAGCAAGTGAACCACATGGTTTTCCGGCTTCGGATCTTCGTGTCTTCGTGCGGATCTTCGTGCTGCTCCTGAGAGCACTTGAGGTGCTTCAGATTCACACGCGAGGTGATTTGGCCCTCGCCTTGGAGCGTTGGGCCTGTCCAAGGTTTTGGCATGTTGGCGTGTAATTATTGTAATTATTGGAGAGCTGAATCATACAGGATATAGGATGGTAGATCATTGGTGAACCTAGGTCTTGATCAATGACTATCCTTTGATGCTGCTGCCAAAGGCCCTGCGCAAGGCGCGTGCAGTGGACAAATCTTTTCTGGCAATGCTTCTTGGTGTTTGGGACACGGGCGTTTGTATGGTGTAGGTGTCTCAAGATCAGACTTTGTGCGACTGTCAGGAGCGGCCCGACATTTCGATCGGTTTCTACATCCATTGTACCTTGACTTTTCGTTGGTGGCTTTTCGAATTCTTTTGATCCCAAGAGGCACCAGTGATAGCGATAGCGCTCTCCATCTCTCTCTCTCTCTCTCTGCTGGAGCCCACTCACATGTGGCTGCGTGTCTCCCTCATCCTTCCCGAGCCTGGCTCGGATGCACCACACCATTGGAACTGAGGCGTGTTCCCCAGCAGCGAGGTGGATTCTTGGGTGAACTTGGGTGGGAGGGGTGGAAGGAAGAGCTGTCGCAACTAGTTGGTGTGGTATAATATGGATGGGTCAAAACCGCCCTGGTCCATTGTGGCAATAGGCCAACTGGTCGGTCTCCTGGTGCGTCACAACGCATGCGTTTCCTCATAGGACGTTTCCAGAGGAACCGAATCGAGCCCCGCTCCGAACACGCTTGACAGAAGGTGCACCGCCGGCACCGCCAGGTCTACCGAATTCTACCCCAGCGGGAGGAGCTGCTTCGTGGAGTGTTAAGCCTCGACCCGAGGCTTCTCTCGTTGGCACGGAAGCCTCGTGGCACGGGGGGTGCCTGCTAGCCTCCCCAAATGGAGATTCCCAACAAAGGAAGCAAACATCCAAAGAACTGAGGCTCCAACGTCATCGGCTTCCACAATTTTCAATATGCTGGGGGCCTTACAATGGCTGCCACATCATGCTTGGACGAGAAATATAGAAGAGACCGCAACACTTCCAAAGCTGTGAACAGCTGCTTCGCATCACAGCTTTGGCTGTTGCCCCACGAGTCTTCAATTATGGTGAAGTAAATTGAGTGAGTTTTGGGGTGATAAAAATTAAAGGAGTTTTGGGTTGATCCGTTCAACCTTGTTCACCTTTTTCTCACGATCCTCCTGGGCCGCCAAAAACACGGCGGCGTCTGCCCAGTTCCTGGAGTGTTCCACCAGGTCCGCCACTTCCTCACAGCCGCCACACGCATCCTGGGCTCCGGCCCAAGAGGAGGGAGTGCACCGCAGCGGCGGCCGAGTGGCTTTCAGCCCGGAGTACGAAAGACCGGGCACCGCCGTTGAGGCTGCGAGTGCACCGCGTCGGGCATTGAAGCGTGTGAGGCGGGTTGGGTGGAGAAGGTGGGGAGAACGCCTTTCAGTTTGTTCGGCCTTTATAACGGAACACAGCCTTTCCTGCCTGGTACATTATTGCATTCTTCACTGCGGAATTTTGCTGGATCTGAGTGCACGGCATGAGTTCTTCTTTGCTGTTGAGATGGCAGCCATCCGGCCGCGCGTGCATCCTCTCGCGAGACAGGATGCTGGTGGGACCAGCACGAAGGCCCCGAGGGTTGCCAAAATATCGCAAAGCATGCTGCTTGTGGGACAGTCTGAATGTAAGTATTGCACACCTGAGTGACCCGTTCTCTGGAGTACCAAAACCCCAAAAGTGTGATGTATGATGATACATGTTCGTTTTGTATAAAAAGGGACAGGCTAACCAGGTGTTTCTTTTTGGTATTTTCAATACTACTGCTCAGGTGCAAATCGAGGTCGACGTCCGTCGGCGGTTGGTCGGTTTAGCTTCGCGCTGCGCGGCGAGTCGCCGTGTGCGGCGTCCGTCGCGTCAGGTGATCGCCGTGCCGCTGGGCATCCATCTGGAGCCCTACTCGCAGATCTTTCATCGAGAGGAGAGCGGTTCAATCAGCTCGTCGACCGACCGGATGGCACGAGGCACGAGTTCTTGCGATGTTGACTAGCTGAGAATGGCCGATGGCTACCAGGGTGTTGGGGTTTCTGAGACTTGCATTCCACTGGACGAAAACTGTCGCCCGGGAGGACACGAAAACCGCCATCCGCGACCTCGAGAGGTCTGGAGACCGTGTGACTTCACGTGGGGGCTTCGATTCGGCCCAAGGGGGCCCTTTCTGCTCCCCCCACATTCTCGACTTCCTGGGGTTGTCGTGGCACAGATGCTCCTTTTTCTCGAAAGAAGGCCCTCCGAGTCGCACTCCGATTCTCGCTGCCCATTCCGACTTGGCTGCTGCGTCTAAAGACCATTTGAGATCTGGCTGGAATGCTTCCATAGTTGCAAGAGTTCTGGACACCTGCAAGCCTCGTGGTGGAGCAATATGCATCTAAAGCTCCGCATAGCTGTGGAAAAGGACACTCCTGGAGGTTCGCAAATGTTAGATCCGTGTCTGCCAAAGATCATCGAACATGAATTTGGAGCACCTTTTGTCATGCCTAGGATTAGCCTTGTGTAGCTTGGAAAGGGTGCATGGTTGTGTGGACCCCAGCAGAACCTGTGGTGATGTTGGAACACCCACCATGTTCCACCGGATCTCCTGTGATATCCTGTAGATTGCTGTCGTCTTCTCGTTAAGAAAAGAAGGACACCATGGCTCCAAAGCGCCTCCGGCGGTGGAAGCGGAAAGGACCTACGCCTCCAAGACCATTCTCATGGCCGTGGATCGACTGGAGGAGCCCCAGTCCAGCCATGCCGACGCTTGAGCCGAGTCACTCGAGTGCTTGTTCAAGCCATGCGGGGCGGCAGAAAGTGCGGGCCGCGGTTTGGCTGAAGAGGAGAAAGAGGGCATCCCTCACAAGATCATGGCCTTCCACAAGTTCCTGCAACGTTCACCGTCGCATGCTGAGAAGGGACTGTTGATGACTCTTGTTCTTTCTTGCCATTTGATGAGGGAGGACCGGATTTGAAAGCTTGTGACGGCAACCATGCATCAAAAATGGCTCCACCCAATCTTGGTGGGCCGCTGCGAGGGCTCCAGAGCCCTCGAACTGAGGGGCTGGGCTTCAAAGGTCGTCTTCGTACAGCTCGTGCAGGTGGGCGCGATAAGGAGCGGGGCAGGAGCACGTCCGGTACCACTTACGCGAAAGCCGCGGGCTCCGCTGGTCTCAACCAATCGTCGGACTGTGATGGCCGCCCTCCAGCCCACGACCCATGTGGGTATATCATATCAAAAGCATTCAAAAACAGCGAGACCTCCCAGGCAATGAGCTTCTGGTTGAGACCTGGGAGGTAATGAGACCAGTCTACCCATTGTGAGGGTCCCCCTGTTCAGATACACACCCATGATGCGACGGCCTTCACGAGGGACTGCGGTGCAAGGGTTCGGGCCCTGGTCGGCGAGGCCAAGACCTTTGACGACGAGGAGGTCTCCGAGACGCGCGAGGAGCGGCAGAAGCTGCTGCAGCAGGCCCATGGCCCGGCCGTTTCGGCGCTTCCACAGGGCCATGAGACAGGACATCAATATACATGAATCAATGAATCATTAGTTGCCACGAATGTCTGCAGCTGTTTGTGCTTGAACCTTTGGCTGACATGAGTGACCAGACAACAGCATCTGAAGCCAGTCGTCTTCTTGCCAGACAATTTCAGCATGTGGCCAGGAAATGGTTATTATATGTTATTACAGTATCAGTATATGTGTGTAGGAGGTCTGGGAACTTTACGGTCTCTTTCCAACTTCATCAACTGAATGCGACATGATCCTTATCCAAATTCTTGGGACAATGACACTGGCCAAGTTCCTCATCTGGCTAACTTCAGACATCTTCAGACCATAAGAAGAACACCAGCATTATCCAATTGAGCAATGTCTGCCGATGCCCGCTGGCACCGCTTTGTGGCGGGTGGACTGGGGGAAATGCCGCTTGGGCAAAATCAATGGGGCCTCCTGTTTTTGTCGCTTGAGCCATCTACGAGTGCACATGAGGGCATTTCGCGTCAAGCCTTGACCATCTTCAGGTCTTGTCTGATGGTGTTGGATGTGGGGGGACGGCTCGGGGGACTCGAACTGGGATGGCTATGTTTAGCGGTTGCAAGTCGTTTGGTTGATTTTTGAAACAAGATCGACCTTCTTGGCCAACTTAGCTGGAGCTTCACCAGGGCTCTTTCAAGATTTTGTGCCAACATTTCTAGGGCTTCTCGGAAGACGGCTCAAACCTCTGAGGTTTGCTGTGTCCTTCTCACACCCGGCAGATGTGCTCAAGGTGCCCAAAACCCTTCGGACGTGGTCGGAAGCGCTTCGGGTGGGTTCGGGCGCGGTCCCAGCGCCGGTGGATCGGCATGCGGAGTCCGAGTCTCGCCCTCCTTAGCGGAGTCCGAGTCTGACCCGGTCTCGAGTCTGACCTAAAAGCACTCTCACAATGACTCGAAGTGGATGAACTTGGCCTTTGGAGATGAGGAAACACTCCCTTCATGGTTTGATGTGGTAGGTCCACACTGAAAGAACGACGCGCGGATGGAACGACGCGCTTCCTTCAGTTTGCACGTTTGACTCACATTATGCAGACATGTTTGTACGAAAAACCCAGCTTCCACTGGGCGTTCGGTGCAGCCACGTCTCCGTGGCCCACCGGTCTTCCCCGTCGAGGTTCGGCTGCAGCTCACCGGTGAGTGCGACCGTCGAGTGAAGACCCTGCGGGTGAGCGGCTCGGGCATTTGTTGGAGCACGTGGTTTGGGTTTTGGGGTGTTTTGGGTGGGATGGGTTGAGAGCTGACTGAGATGCCTGTAAGCTTGAAGTGACCAAGTGGTGTTTCAAGGATGATGAAGTCCATTCATGCCACTTCTGGTTCACTTCTGCCACTCGTGATGTTTCTTCATGTGTTCCTTGAACCCAGGAGACATGATGCGGGTGGCCCGACAAGTGGCTGTGGCCCGGCGTTAATCTGTTCCAGGAACAGTCGAGCAATCCAGACGAATACCATAGTGCCCTCTTGATGCTGGCCATTTTCCAGACCCAGCTGTTGAAATTGGATGGACCAGTTCTGTCGATAATGTCGGTTGAGCTGTTGGTTGAGCTGTTTGTTTGACGTCGATTTGGACCTCTTGGCTCCCAAGTCTTGATTTATTGTTTCTACTAGCTTCTTGCTCCTAGTAGGAAGGCCAGGAGCCTCGTTCGTAGCGTCCGATCGCTCCGTTCGGTTCGCGATGCCCTTTGCTTTGCTGCTCCGAAACGTTAGCGATGCGAACGTTTGATTTGTTTTCGCTCCCAGGGACCAGACGAACACCTTTTGCCTGAACAGTCCCAAATAGGCCCGCCATAGGTTAGCCCAGCTTGATAGACGCCTCTAAACAGATCCTAAGCTGTCCGCACGGAAGGAACTGGTGACCACTCCAACTCACCGCGGTGACCACTCCAACTCGAGGTCTTGGAAGGTTTTGGAGGCCTCTATGGCGGCATCTCGGCCGCCTGGCTACGCATGGCCTCCTTCGGCACTTTGCGCCACGGGCTCTATGGCCGCCGGGCGTAGAAGAGATGGGATTGCTGCCATGCGGGTGAAGGATGAAAGGGGGAATGAACGGATGGACGCCCATGAAACCATTTGGTCTTCATGGTCGTTTGGTTCCCCTTTTTTGGTGCTCTCTTTTTGTGGTGGGATGTGGAGGAAACGGTGGAATGGATCTGTGCGCATCGTCAGATGGGGTGATCCAGCGTGTGGTGTGTACTCTAGGGCCAGATTCGGTGAGGCTGGCATTGGAGGTTTTGAGTGGGGCTGGCATCGCGAACTGCGCGGATGTGTGTGGATGGGTTGCGAGCACGAGGCCTGCTGGAGCAAACAGGAAGGAACCAGAGAGGAGTCCTGCCTGCATCTGGGGAAGTGGCTAGCTGCTGACGTGTTGAGAAGCATCCCATTTTTTCCATCCATTTTTGCGTTCAAAAGAAGCATCCAACGGGGGAGACCGCCATTTGCTAAGCATCCTGGGTACGCCAGGAGATCCTGGGTACGTCTCCACTGAGGCGAGGTTTCACTCCTTTGGCGCTTGCAGGCAGGGCTGCTGGCCGGCACCGCGGCCGCGCTGGCGGCCAATCCGGCCGATGTGGCCTGGGCCTCAGTCATCTGAGACTTGAGATCCCTTGGAGTCCCTTGGACCTCTCGTTTTCGACCGAAAAAACCAACAAAAACATCACCAAAACACCAAACAACTCCCACGCCAACTCCGACGCGGTCTGGGTGGCGTCTCCCCACCGCGTCCTCACCGACCGGAGCTCACAGGTTTCATCCTGTGAGCTCCGTCCGGCGACCCGACTGAGCCCCAGGTGCTGATCCGGATGCAGGCGGATGGTGGATGGCCGGAACATCAGCGACGAGCCTTGGACGTTGGAAGGGGAGGGGCGAGACATGGCTGCACTGGACCGACCAGGGAAAGAAGTAACAGAATGGACTACTAAGGAGGTCCAACCTATTAGGATCAACCTGGCAACCCGGGTTTTGACCGGAAGGGTGAGGTGAATGAGCTTTGGATTCAAGAGACTGGGATTCTTGGCTTGGCTCCAGAGCTGTTCTCAATCACCAGAAGTTGCAAGTCTGAAAGTCTTTGGAAGCCAAAGAACGTCGCAGTCCTCCCATCCCGTCAGGCCACTACCGCCATGCTTGGCACGGCCTGCAGGAGGTCTACGCGGAAGGCGGGCTTGCGGCGCTCTACCGCGGCAGTGGCCCGACGGCGCTGCGGGCTGCCCTGGTGACGATGTCGCAGTTGGCGACCTATGAGGAGAAAGCGTGGAGGAATCAGCCGAGCGCGACGTGCCCATAGGTCTGAAGTCAGCGACTTTTGAATCCCATTATACAAGAGTTTTCTTGGAGCAGTGTTACCCATACTGTATATACTAGTAGCCATAATGGAGCATGAAGGGTTCATGAAGATTGCGGGATTGTTTTTGTATAATTTTGCATAATTTCGCTATGTATTATATATGGTAGAACTTAGAAGCTATTTTTCAAAAAGCTACCGTTGGTTCAGACAAAAGAAGTCATCATTTTGGTTCAAGGGCGAGAAGTTATGACATCCGCACTGACCCCAGAGTCTGAAAGTGGGTCCGCTGGGCTCGTGGGATCTGAGGATGAACCTGCGCTCTTTTTGCCCTCGGCATGTCCGAAAGCAACCATCTCCTGGCAAGACTGCAAACCTTAGTGACTTGCTACAGCGCATAAATATTCTTCGTAGTGCCCTTAAAAGGGCAAAGTGCACCTGCGACGAGATGACGCCAAGCACTGCCAACTTTTACCAACGAGTGCTGCTGCAGTGTTGGATGCCAAGGCTTCCGGACATCGTTGTGCAGTTCTTCAGTCCTCTTGATCTTGCTGTGGAGACTTTCGTTGACGCATTTGCTGTGACAGAATCGTGTGTCAGGAGTTGTTCCAAGAAGCCGTTTGGCACCTGAGTGTTCGTCAGACCCCTACCTGGTCAAGGCATATGCCAGATTTCTTCCAAACCTTCAGGTGGCTGATGCAGAGTCAGCAGTGCAGAGATTGCAACGCCAGCAAGGCTACGAGCATGATACTGAACCCAACCAGCAGCTGCAAGCATACCCGCCCGATAGCGGGCTGGGGGGGTTTGTCGTTTCAATTGGGGGGGGCGAATTGTTAGAGTGAAAGGGGGGGGGGGCGTGGCTCTGGTCCGGGGCGGGGCGGGGGAGAGCAAAGAAAGGATGTTCACATGAAGCACCTGTGTTGTGCGACCTGGAGTCACCCCTTTAGCTGTGACCTGCAGTGGGCCATACAATGACATTGTGCTCAGCAAAGATCTTTCAGCTTCTCTAAATGTTCTAGGAGCAGTGTCTTGTGGGATGCCTTCCTCTTTCACTTTCTTCAAGATTGCTGATAAGCTTGCCTGTGTACAATGGGGCAACCCATGCTTGAAGTCAGTCAGCTTTTGCTGCTTCAGCACTTGGGCTCCAGCCAAGGCTGGGCTAAGTCTTTGATACAACACAACATCAAAAAATAAACATCTATGCCTGCATTCAGTATCTGCAAACCCTAGCGTGTGTGACATTGCCAAAAACCATCTTGTTTGGCACTGCCAGATTGAATCCTGCACAGCAAATTCTGCAGCCCAAGCGTTCAAGTTCCATAATGGCTGCCTTTGCAGGAAATGATTCCCCAATGTGGTTTGCAAAAGCTGAATTGCAAAAGCCCTTGAGGCTGAAGTCTTGTTGGCCAACATACAAAAAATGCTGCACTTCACACTTCTTTTTCACACCCACACTGCCACTTGTTTGTTGGTGGTACAATCCCCAAAGCTGCATGCTTTCATGCAGGTGACCCCAGGCAAAGAGACATACCAGAGGTCTTTGCTCTAGTGGTTCTTTGCCACATGGTGCTGGTGCCATTTCTTCCACTCATCATGGCAGCCAAAAACTTTGCCTCTAAAACCATCCTTCAAACACACTTTGCAGCCCTTTGGGTTTCCTCGACATCGTGTACACCCAACCTTCTTCCTCTGCACTGAAGAGTGTGGGGTGGCTTTCCTTGCTTGCTGGCCATTTGGAGCAGCTTTCTTCTTTGGCGCTTTGCTGGCTGCAGGCCTTTTCATTTTCACTGAACTTTTGCCAACCTGTGGAGCAGGTCTTGACTTCAAGCTTTCCAAGGCTGCTTTCTCATATTCTTCAAGGCTTTTCCCATCACATCCTTTATTCATATCAATCTCCTCTTCATGGTCACCTTCAGGCTGCTTGTCAGCATGTGTCTTTCCTTCACCAAGAGCCTTGTCATCCACCGCATCTTCCAAAGGAACCATGGACAATGATGAAGAACTCTTGCTGACCAAGGGCAGCCCCCCTGATGATGATGCCTCTGAACTGTCCTTCCGTGTTTCTCGTGCGATCAGGGAATGGTTTCCTTGAGTGCAAATACTTCTGCGGGATTTTTCATTTGACTATTTTTCCCTGAGCTCTCCAAGACGTCAGAGTCCAGGCTTAACTGCATCGTGCTGACTGAGAGGGCGGTGCAGCAGGGATAAATACTTAGTTGTATGAGAACAATGACCTTGTCCGATGTGAGTACGACGAACCGGGATTTTCTTGGGCATCTGGCCCCCAATGCAGGAGATGAAAGGCAAGGCCCTCCAAGCCGGCTTCAACAACGATGTGAGGCTAATTTCGGGTCGGAGAGTCGACAGGGCACCTTGTCAATCGAAGGCCCAGAGATTTTTGACGATGTGCTTGCGCCAGTTTCTGGTACACCCTTCGCTAGCGCTGGGGTGCCTGGCGCGAAAAACGTTTTTGCGTGTGTTTGTTAGCGTGACAAATGTGCCCGTTGTTTGTTGTGTCTGTTAAACATGTTAGTCAGTTCTCCCTGTGTGATCATGCCTTAGCCAGGCTGCACCTTTGCTGCGCCATGAGCTCGGCCACCGCGGCCTGCCTTTGCACGCAGCCGGTGGATTGTGTGAAGACGCGTGGCTCGGCGACCGCCGCGGCTCGGGGAACGATTCTTCACGGACAGCAAGCAGAAGCCACATGACATGGCTGGCGATACCTGGTATGGTTGGTATGGCTGGTGCTTAACGTGATGAACTGTAAGATGGTAACTAAACCATGAACTTGCCACTCACTGCACCAGCATCATGTGGGCCGGACTTGTGGTGTTGGTTTTTCCGAGCTAGCCCGGAGCTTCCGGACGCTTCAGGTATCATCAACATGCAGAAAAACTGCGGTGTTTCATACAGAGGCGTTCCCTGGGTGGCGTTCGTGACAAACGGACATGCATCGTCCGATCGAACATGGAGTTCATGGTATGCGTTGGGGTTCCTTCAAAAAGCAGTCGTGCTTCCTGTGTGCAGCACCTTTACTGGAATCAGCAAGAGCGGGCCTTGTATTTTTGGACATACCGTTTCAGAAGGACTAGGACTCCGCAACGGACTGGTGGATGCTGAGCCTCTTGTCCAAAAATGTTGAGCACGGGTGATTCGTCGTCTTCAGCCAAATTTTTGTTTTCGTTCTCGTGCAGGTCCTTTGGATGTGGTGAGGAAGACACTTGGCACTGAGGGCCCTTTAGCCTTCTACAAAGGCCGGGTGTGTGGCCAGGTTCGGTGCACATTTTCAGGCCCAAAGAGGCTGAAAGGTGGTCCTGGGTTCGACTCTTGATGAATTAAGACCTCCACATTTGGCACGGAAGTCCGGGTCATCGCACCAAACCATCCGCTTTGGATGCACGGGCGGCACGCGAGTTGGTTGGCGCGCCAAGCCGCCAAGCCTTACCGCTATTCAGTGGGTTTGGGTGGTAGTGTGAAACTCTCCAATGAAAATGAACAGGTGAGAAAAACATACCAAGTAGCTAGGAACGAACAGCATGTGGCAGCAACGGACAATAGAGATGACCTCGGATGTGGCCCTTTCGAGAGAAATTCAAAGTGAATTCGTCGAGAAGATTCTCAATTATGTGTAAACGTGTCCAATTTTTTCTTAGTTCTGAGAACATATGGAACGCGGCTTTTGAAATTTGTCTTCTTTCTCATATGTGGCTTTGTGCCATTGAGGCCATTTATTTTCTGTTTCTTGTGTATATATGCATCAAATGGCAAAAGAGGAATATTGGTGTGAAAAGGCGGGTTATTTGGCATCGTACTTCGGAGGTCGAACATCTATTTGTACGTGGCCGGGCCCATAAGGCAGTTGAGGTCGACATGCCACACCCCCTTGATGATCACTGGAGACACCTAGTGAGATCAGGCTCTTCGAACCCTGTTTCCGCTTTGGACTGTAAAACCTCTTCACAACTCTTCATATGGGTTGCGAAGCGTCGTCCATCCATCCGGGGCATCCGGTGAGTAGACGCTTCATCTCATCCGGTTCCTTGGCCCTGTGAATGGAAGGAATGGAAATGAACTCTCGAATGACGAGACGTCGATCTAAAGCCCCTGAGACGTCTGAAAAACATCGTCCTTGGTTGACTGACTTCCATTGAAGATCCCATTTCACTTGCTCTCCAGCTTTCCAGTCGCATCGTCCCACAAAGGAATGCTTGGCACTTTTTGGTTCCTCAGGGTGGAACCATAACGGAGGTGGCCAAGCCTGATGGGTGGAAGAGAATCTGGTTTCCGTGGACCCGGTCGACCCTCCGCACTTCGCCTTCATCCTGGGTCGTTGGTGTCACAGCTCTCGACCTGTCCAGGCCTCTCGGCGACCTTTGTACGCCCCTCGGCAAGGCTCGGTAGGCCGCAACGAACGATCCAAGGAGGTCGATGCAAACGCCTTCCCGCGCAGCTGGAGGTGCTGTCTGTTGATGGAGGTGCGCATGCCTAAAGATTTGATGACACGATGAAATCCATGTAAAATCCCTTTGAGATTCTTGGACACCGTTCTGCCTTTGCGGTTGTTTGTTTGTTTGTTTGTTTGTTTGGGTGCGGCCCTTTGATTCGGTTCTGTTTTGGATGCTTCTTTCCCCCACAAGCGCCTCCCCCACAAGCGCCCCTGCCCTCACTTTTGTTGTCCACTGGATGGTGGCTTTGGAGGCAGAATCGCCCTTCGCTCAGAGTCGGTTTCGCTCCAAATCAGTTCTGACACATCAAACTTTTACATCGCCGTTAGGAGCGGGTTCAACTTTCGTCAGAATGGCACCGTGCCTGGACAACCAGACAACGCGTGATGAGTTGTCCTCCGGTGCGGCTGTCCTCCGGTGGCCGTGAGCCAAGGCCTATGGCCGCATACGGTGCTCTTGTGGTTGGGGCAGGAAGCCATCACCGCTCGCCTGCGTGGCAAAAGAGGGGCTCTGCTCAACTTAGCGTGGCACTGGGTGAGCCACAACATGATCCACTCTGAGTCACTGACACGGAAGTGAAAAAGGATCCCTCGTTAGACTACTTTCCTCTAGAAACAGAGGGTTTTCCACCTCCATGATAGTGAGTCAGAGTGTAGGGTAGCTGCTAGCTGTCAGAGTGGCAGTTCTTCGCTGGAGGCTTGGCCAAAAGGCCTCTTATAAGGTTTAAACAGCTTGATTCATGGATCAAGACCTGATCACCCAAAGTTCTGTGAAAACCCGAACTCATTGGGGTAGCTTAGGGGCGCAAGCTTTTCACCCACCCCCTACAGTTGCGCGTCCAAAGAGTCCAAAGGAGAACCTCATCTCTTCTGCATCACCCATCACCGTCTTCCCGTTTCCGGTGACCGAACCGGCCTTCTCCCCCCCGGGCGTTCAGCGGTCGCGCACGGGACGCCGGTTGGGACGCCGGCTGGGACGCTGGGACGCAGGTCTACCAGATGGGCGGTGAGTGCAACTCGGCCTTCGGCTCCATTGGGCACCTGCCGTGCGGGGTCTCGGTGACAGCTTCGCAGCGTGCGGTGCGGGGTGCGAGGTGGCGGGGTGCGCGGTGACCAGGTTGGGAGCCTGGGATGGCCTCGCAAAAGGAGGTCAACAGATTGACGGAACAGGACTGAACACTGGAAAAGGGTCTTTGTTTTGGTTGGCGTGAGGACACTTTTGGAGGCGATGATGTCGGGAGGAGACTTTTTTCGTGGATCCCAGATTTTCATCTACTAAGATTTTGTAGTGTGGAGAGTGTTTTCTTGAGCAGCTGAATTTCAAGTTTCCGGCATGGACCGTGGGTAGGTTTTTACCGTAGATGTTCTTAGCATATTAATATGTTGGCAAGTCAAAGCAATGTAATGCTCGTAATCAATATTGTGAAACCAGCACCCCAAATCTTTTGAATCCATGTTACTTTGTAGTGAGTGGAAGGTGCTTTTCCATCGCAAGACTTTGCATTATTTACGAATTCTTTTCCATGTGACATTCACCTCACAAGGTTCCACTTCCTTCACCAAGACATCAGCAAGTCCGACATCACAGCGCTGATGGTCAAGGTGAGGTTGCCAGTGCTTCGAGGACGAAACGCAGACCACTCAATGTAAACCAACCAAGACTCTCCTTGGCACCGAAGTGCCACAGAAACCCAACTGGGCTCCTCCCACAGCTGTATGACAGATAAAACTTGTACATCTTTCTGTCAATGATGAACACAGCAGTCCCTCAAGTTCACACTTGCAAGATCCACCCTGATCCCCAAGTTCTTTGGCTTACATGGACCCCCGTCTGTCCAAGGCATCTGGGGGTGCCAGTGCCATCTACCCTGAAAGCGCAGGAGTTTTTGAGTGTGAACGTTCGATTCGAGAGGCTCATGTCTTCATGGACACGCCGCTGCGCGACACTCTTTCTCGAGAAGCTCATGAGTTTGTTTGGTGCCAAGAGGACTGCTACGGAGTGAAGAGCAAATCATCTGGCAGTTCAGGCAGTTCCTTTGAACTCTGGCCGGAAATGGAACAATCCGCAGCAGATGTGGGGGATCCCCCAAATCCTGGGTATTTTGCAGATTTCGCAAAGGAGCATGGTGCTACAAGTACGTTCTAATTGTAGATCCTTCTAGTTTGGATGTAGAATGGATGCTGCGTTTAGATTGTGCTTTGGCATAGTGCCTCCACTGTTTGTACACTTCTGTTGCGCTTACTTCTGTCAATTTCGTTCGGATTTCACAAAGGCCCTTCTCTTGAGTTTACCTCCGGTGGCACTTGGCATCGGGCGGCATTGCTTAGACATCGTTTTAGACTGGCGCATTTCTCGCTGTACACACACAGAGCAAGTAGAACGTTCAGAAGACAAAGGGAAACCCTCTTCAAGGGATTCACACCTTTGCAGCCCACATATTCTTGCGCTGTGAGAGGTGTTTCCGTTTTCCTCACCTGATCGGAAAAGTATCATGCATTTGTGCGAGTGCGTGGCTTTTGGCTGTATCATTGGCATTTACTGCTGGACAAGCCTCTGAACTTCCGAAGCCACCCTTGCCTCATTTGGGACGAAGCATGAACTTACCGACCTGGATTCCTCTCAACTCCTATGATCCAGGTGGAAACCACATGGGAGTGAACCATAGAATTCGAATCGGTCTTTTCGACCAGGTGGAAACGACTGTTGCGCTACACCGCCAACGCGCCGTCGGAGACAAACCCATGTTTCTTTTTTCATGAATTCGCAGGACAAGGACTGCGGTGTGTTGATCCTCTCGGAGTTCTCGGGCTCGGCGCAATCCTTGCGCGCGGCCGCCATCTGCCGGGGCCGTCCGGTGCAGTGAGTGCGAGCCGGGAGGGAGAGGCCAGTTTGAGGTCGTGGCGGTCGTTCCAACGGTGTCTCTAAACTTGGTGATCCTTTTTCATGTCGAAGTTGTTGTGACTCAGTTCCTGCGAGCTTTCTCTCAACTCTTGGTGAACGAACCACGAAGTGAGCCACACATATTCTGGCAATTCATGCCAATTCCAGCTCTTACTCCAGTATATAAGGCTTGCAGACAATCCTCCCATGACAGCCACCCCCTTCAGCCCAAAAGACACCCCCTTGCGGGGCGGTGGTGAATCTTGAGAAATCCAAAATGTTTTCCACCCAGACACGCCAGATGGAGCCCTCCATAGTATACAGTATATATATATATATAGACACACGCATATCAATGCACATATCTTCACCTATGACCCGAAAGGAGTCCGCTGGGTTTCGTCGAACGCTTTGCATGAACGTGAGGTGTGAACCCTTGGGACACCACTGCCTTTGCGGATGCCATTCAGGAGGAGGGGGCATCGTTGCACCTGAGACACATAGCCACGATGCAACACTTGCAACAAGGGGGAGAGAAAGTTGTTTCCGAGTTGTTTCGGAGTTTTGTATGGCATGTGACATGTTTAATATTTTCCCATCTCTTCCCATATCTTCCCATAAGGCCATAAGGTCTCATCTTTTCCCATGAGGTCTGGTCTCTTTCCAACTCCGTTCCTTTGCAAGTGACCGTTGCGTTGGGGCCTTCAACTCGACGACCCCGGTGGATTCCGTTCGCCGGCCGGCGGAGGCCATGGAGATGGTGCCCTTCGATCGCATGGAGCTCCACCGCTACGGGCAGAAGCACGTCTTCGCGCACACCCTGAGGACCCTCGTCCGCGCACACCCTGTTGGTCGGTCGAGACGTGTGGACGTCGTGTGGACGTGTGGCGCCCCCGTGCTCGTTGGACCGGAGGGGACGACGGTCCGATGACGAGCCGAAACGGACGAGTGGTGAGTGGCGATGGGGGCGGGCGATGTACGTTGGGAGAGGTCGGGGAAAGGTTTTGGGATAAGAAAGTTGGTGTTGTGAGGCAAGGGTTGTTTTCTGGATTCTTTCAAATGTAGTTGACTAATGCTGTTTTCTTTAGCAACTGTTCTTCTGGGCTTCAAGCTGAGTTCCACCGGTCTGCTCGAGGCGTTGGGCTTCGAACTTCTTGGACGAGATTTTGTCCGTGCCAAACCTGGAGCTGCTCATTTCTGGTCTTCTTTAGTAAGAAATGAGCTTGCGTACTGAAGGAGAGCATGTGGGCACCCTTGTGGGCACCCTTGACACACCCATTTTGTAAACCATTGGGCTTCAAGAAGTGAAGGATCTACTACTAATGCGGATGCGGATGCTCGTTTGATAGGCTTTGGTGGTGCCTCAGCACCGGTTCAGAAAGCTGAGAGCGAGAGCGAGAGCAAGAGCAAGAGAGCAAGCATAGGTTCATTTTCAAAACTCAAAACAACCTGGTGGTAAGGAGCAGAAATCATGAATTGCATGATGCGGTCAGCAACATCCAAATGGCTTCCGACACGGCCCCCTCGGGGCCGTCGCACTTCCGACAACCGACCATCCCCCATGCGGGCTGTCGCCGCCCGATCCCGTCACGTGCCACTCGGTTCCTCGAGGCGGAGCGCGATTGCGAGGACGAGCGCTTGCAGATTCCTCCGCCGTGCCTCGGCCGTCGCTTCCGGCACCGTGACCGACCCGGTACGTGACGACCGTCGTTTTCCGGTACGAGTGGGGTGGTGTCGATGTCTCCGACCGAAGGAGATGAGGATGGGGTCTTGAGTTGTGGTGTTGGTCCCCATACCCTGGAATTCAACGAATTGAAACATCCAGCTGAAACTGTTTGGGGTCTATTATGCTGGTACGGTATGTTTCTATCTTTTTCATTCTTTTTCACTCGTTCTGGTCCTGATGCTGGCATCAGATGGTCTCAGGACATTTGTAAGATTGAACCCCCAGGTAACTACCTGCAGCGACCCTTTTGTGCGGACTGTCTGTGAGGTTGGACCTCGACAACCCGGTGGCAGCCATGCGGAAGGTATGGGAACACGGCCCGACGGTGACCATCGCTTCTTGAACTGAGAAGCGGGGACCCAAAGTCTATGCAACTGAGGTCTTGGAGGCCAACTCAATGTGAAGAAGACAACACTGAAGCATCTGCAGTATGGGCAATAATTTGGGCCTTGGGGAATTTGGTTGAAAGCCAATGGCCACAGTCATTCATTGGCTTCATATTTTCCGTCGATGCACGTTTGGTGTCATGTGGTCTGTCGACACCCAAACGTGGCTCAGAAAAGAAAAGAACTCTTTTGAATCAGTAATATCAATATACTCCATGTTCATCTGACAAATCTGTGGCCGCTTTTGGTTTCGGATCCCCTGCCTGAGCTCATCTGGCCAGGCTGGCAAGAGGATCTTCGTCTTCGGCTTCTCTGGGACCTTGTTACCACGGAAGCTGCTCGGCCGTGACCACCGCGTAGTCCACCTGGTTACCACGGCGCTCGGCCGGTCCGTGGTGCAACATTCGGTGGACAAACATCTTGTGTCGGTTAGGAGGAGCTTTCTCTGCCAACCACAAGGTGAACCCACTTCCAATCTTGCCTTTTTTGTGGGTGCCATTGCTTGAAGTCCAGAGTCGTGGGCCGCTTTTTCAATTCACGCCTGAAGGGCAATTGACCAGCTTCGACTGGAACACCAAACCATTGGCTGAAAACACTTACCAAGACCGAGAAAGGCTCACTCTGTCACTCAGTCACACCGTGTGCGTTTGCCCTTGGATACTGTACCGGTTCTGTGCGTTTGCCCAACGCACTCAGGAAAAGGACAGTGAGCCCCCCCGACCGGAGGAGGGTCGAATCCAAGCCTTGCCCAGGTCCAAGATCCAAGCGAAGATCCTCTCCAAGCTTCACCCTGTCTTGGCAGCGAACCTCAAGGTCGGCCCCGGAAAAAGGGGGGGGTCGTTGGGAGGTGAACGGATGATGTTCTGCGAAAGGACGCGAAAGGAGGGCTGCGAAAGGAGGGCTGCTTCCAAAGGATCCAACTTCAACTTCTAATATTGTGTTGGGAATTTCTAGCAGGCCTGATCTTGCATACACCGTGAACCATGTGTCTGTGATGCTGACGCAGCCCTCGGCTTGAACCATGGCACCCCTATATGACGACATGCATTTCTAAGAACTTGAGGAGCTACGACTCACGACGTGCACATGGCACTCCACAAGCCGCAGACCGTCACACAGCGCCCGTGAAGTACACAGACCTACGTCAGACTGTGTGTCTTCACGCGGTAGACGCCAATGAAGCGCAAGTGCCCCGACGAGTGGCAAGAGGGCCGCGGCTTTTGCTTTGTGCGCCATGCGCAGGCGGACGGTGGGAGGGACCGAGCTGGGGGAACGTGAGGAACGGCCGTTCCGCCTTTGGATCGTTTGGAAGAGTTTTGGTTCGGAGAGTGCACTCAAAAGAGTGTGGAAGCTTCAAAGGTAGAGTGTAGCTGCTTTGGCTTTGTTCTTTCCTCAGCCCCCGGCAGGCGCTTCACAATGCCATTCGACAGCATTGAGCGCAAAGGAAGGATGTGAAGGTGAAGATAGATAGTTAGAGAATGCCAATTGTGACTTTTTCCTTCAACGACTTGAGGTTTGTGATGACAACCTTTGGACGCCCGACAATCCGCCGCTTGGGCTCCGACCGCGGGACAAAGTGGATTCCCAACTGGGAGACGATGGCAGGTTCTTTGATGGCCAGCAGTGGCTAGCAGTTGGATGCTGGAAAATCAGATCCTCAAAACAACGTAAAACAACTGCTTTCCCAATCATCAGGTTTTTCATCTTTCCAAGATGCTTCCCAACCAATTTCAAGGCCAAAGTCGGATCCAGGCAGATTCGAAGAAGTCTGTTTCTTCTTTTTTGGCAACCATCTTTTTACCTGGACCCTCAAAAGTACCTGACAAAAAGCATATATCAATCAGGTGCTTCTACAAGTCCCTCCCTCTCCAAAAAGAAGTGCTTCCATATTCACGGTTCCTCCAAGGCTTACGGCGGATGGGGAGCGGCAGTGCCAAGAGGCACGGGCACAGCCGTGCGGTTCAAAGGTCGAATCTGGGACGTTGACTCGGTCGGGCTTTGACTCGGTCGGGCTAAACAGGACTAAACAGGTCCCGTCTGTGGAAAGGGTCAGTTTTTTCATTGTGCCAGTATCGTTTTCGATCTTTTTTGTCCTTTCTGTGGCGCCTGAGAGCTACGTTGACCACTTTGACTGGGCGCCCGTATCGTCAGACGCCGTGGGTGAAACGGTCGGGGTGACGTGACCGGCTGGAGCGGTCTGTGGAAAAGCCTCACACAGGTCCGCAAGGTCCTTCAGTTTTTATTTCGCAAAGAGATTTCGAAGGCCTCATGGGATATATATATATATATATCATTTCTTTGGGGCTTTGGGCGCATCCTCCAAGCATCCCAGTGTCGTGCGCGTGGATCCAGGCGCATGCCGAATGGGGCCGAAAGATCTTTGAGGGCGCAGAGCTCATCATTGTGTCGCCCATGACGCGCGCGCTCCAAACAGCCTATTTCATTGGAGGAGCGCCTGGGCGACTAGTCACTCAAGGACTTCGAAACCAGTTCGATGAAACTTGAGGCTTGTGAAAGAATGAGTTTCTTGGTGCCCGTTGTCCAACTTATGTAAAATCACAGATCTCAACAACTGTTCGACCTTGTTGAGTGTCTCAAGGACTCAAACCTGACGACAAGCGGGTTTTAGTGACGCCCATGTGGGAGCCTGAGATGTGGGTATGGGGGTCAAAGAACTGCCTGGACTCTGGTGCCTGGCTGCTTCGCTCCCCCTTCTCTACTCGAGCCACCTGCCCACCCCCGAGGTGTGCAGAGCACCTGTCGGGGGCCACGTGCGACGAGGGCAGGCCATTGGAAGAGCTTCGTGAGCAGCTGCCATGGGCGCAAGGCGCCGGCACAGACCATTCATGTGAAGCACCGGAAGCTGTTGGAACTCAACTCCTCAAGCATGAGCGTCCGTCCGCCCCAAACTCTCAAGACTTCAGGAAGGAGAAGGTTATGCGTAGATCATTTATGCCATTCGATTCGCTTCGGATGACGTTTATGTTCATTCCGAAGACTCGGATGAGCTTCAGGTTGGAAGGGCTTTTCAGAGCTGCAGGAGGAGTGGTGGAAGGAGGAAAGGCCTGAGGAGGCCTTGCGGGTCGCAGGCTTTCTGCAGTTCCTCCAGGAGAGCCGGGAGACGGAGAGCCATGTGACACCTGGTTACACCTGGTGACACCTGGTGACACCTGGTTACACCCACCACAGGGGTTTGGACACTCCCTGAAAGAATCATGGGAATGGGCCCGATTTGGGATGACCATTTTGTCTGAATACCAAACAGGTGGTGCCATCCACCTGCAGTGGCCGATTTCAGGCGTCCGCTTTGCAGGTCGCCCGTTTTCATTCTTCAGTGTAGGTCGCCCGAGGACTGAGGTGCAATGGGTCCTGTGTCGGTGCTGATCCGGGGAACCTTCCGTTCGGTGCTGGCTGAAGAAGGAACCTCCAGCAGCGAAGAAGACGTCCCATCGTGACTGTGACCGAACGTCTGAACCAACCGGAATCGAGACCAAGACAGCCGAACGGAAGAAGACAGCCGATTTTTGGGACGTTCATGCCTGGAAGCGGACGCTTCTAGCAGCGTGCAGGAGCGCCAGGAGCGGAAGATTGTGGTGGTATCGCATGGAGCTTTCCTGCAATACATTGCCGAAGGCTCAGCTTGAGAGTGCTGACCTGGACTGATGTGCTGGGCAAACGTATGATTAGAGTTACTATTCAGCCCATTTCCACAGACTCATCTATTCTTTTTCCTGTGCTCCTTGGGCCTTCAAGACACCCTTCTCTCAGGTGGGGTACCATATGGAGAACGCCACTCGGCACATGATGAACTTGGAGGATTCGCAGGCCGCCAAGAAGTCGTGCGAGAGGTCCTCCTTCAACATCGGCTTCGCCGTGTGCCGGGAGCTGCTCGGCATGGAGACGTCAAGGCGTCTGAGCTCGGGAAGACATTTGGAGTTCTCCAGGCCCGAAGTTTGCAGGGTGGATTCCTCCACTACTAGAAGACGTCTTCATTTTGGTTGGATAGATTGGATAGAGAAGCCCTACCGGGGAAAAGGTGAAGAACTTCCTGTAACTGCTCAGGAGCTCCATTGAGGCGCTTGCTGATGTGTTCTGAAGACTATGCAAGTCTTCAAGACCATCTAGGCCTAAGTCCCCTCGCACCACTTGAGCAGGGCCCAAACCCGGCGAACTGACCATCGGTTCCTCGATGCGAAACGGTTAACACATCCTTCAGATGGCCAAAGCCGAGCCGTTCTTACCCTGGCCTTTCAAAAGCCTTTCAAAAGCAGTTGATTCTTGGCCGTTCAGAACTTGGAGGCCCAGTAAGAATCGATCTTCGATTCCCTTTTGCTTCACTCCCAGGTGGGAAGATGCTCCCTTGAAGCGGCTTGCCAAGGCCGAAACGGTGTGTTCGGTGTCCGGCCAGCGATCCATTTTCCTTAAGTGATCCAGTGGCGGCCAGTGGCCCCATGCAAACTGAAGCACCCTTCACTTCATTTTCCATGATTGCTGGCGGGTAGGATGTTTGGACAAGTGTCAAGAACATCTTGAACCCCAAAACTGCACGAGCCTTCCACATTTTCATAAGGTCTGGTTTGGTTGAGTTTTGTTTTCCCCCTTTTTGGTGCCTTCTGTTTGTGCCACCATATTTAGTCCGCCAGAATCCCATCAGACGGAGTCATTTCCCTCCAAAACCGGGAGATGGTGGTGGCCACACAGGCCTTTGGCAACCGTGGCCGGAACCGGGTCTCCCATCGTTTTCGGTCGATGCTCCGTCCGTCAGAGGCTCCGGTGACCTGTCTCCAGGGCCTGGGCCGCAAGCGGGGCGCCATGTTGGCGTCCCTCGGCCCCAAGACCGTGCAGGCGAGAGGGGTGGGGTGTTTGGGCGGGAAAGCGTCGGGAGAACCCTTGGGGAGGGCGAAACAGCAAGAAAACAGGGTTTTGATGTGTGTTTCTCTATTTTTCTTGCCTGTTTCTCTTGTTTTGTGTGCTATCCAGCTTTCTTTTTTACAGAGCTTCGTGGGTTGGGCAGCGTGTCAGACTTAGTCACTTGTTCCAAGCTAAGATGCCTCTCCTTGCTTTCCCGATGTGCCCGGTCGAACGCCTCTCCCCGTCGCACGCCGCAAGCGCGCCGACTCCTCCCGCCCATCGCCGCAGCCTCGCCGCGCGCCGACGGCGCTCGGAGCTCGGAGACGACGTCCTCCCTGCAAGGACTTGGCGAATTGGAAGTTTGCCCGCTGGGCCGAGTCCATTTGCATCCTGAGCCCTGCAGAACAAGACGGATCCCGTGATGCGCCAGTCTCAGCAAGAGCTAAGGAGGGAGGGTTGACGGTTGGACCGTCAGGGTCGCGAGAAGGAGCGGCTTGGGGGAGGGTTGCGGCCTCTTCTTGTTGCCGGTGCTGTTGCGTTCGCTCGAGGTCAGCAAGATAGAGAGCAAGATGAACATCAACAAAGCGCTGGACAAGGAGCCTCTCTGCACTGTAGTATGTCATGTAGGACATGGCGGCCACGTTTCCAACGGGCCTGGACGGTCCAGATTTCGTTTCAACGAGGATCCAAGGATCTCGCATCCTCGTTGAAACGGTGCGTTCTTTGTTGAGAATGGCTAATCGCTAAGACAAATTTCCTTTGCATCGGTGATGCGACATATACTCTTTGTGGATGTCTTCGCACTTTTGTGGACTTCTACGGTATGCAAAGACTTTTGGTTCTTTCATGTTCTTTCTTTCAGCTCTTCGGAACAACTCAGCTTTTTTTGACAAGCGCAAAAAGCGCAGGAGTGGGAAGGCTGGGCGATGTCCTTCTTGTTGGATGCGCCCTTGTCAGCCTTTGCAGGTGCCTTGGTCCGGTTTGTTCCTTCATGCTGAAAAGCGTGTTCATGAAGAGACATTCCCGCAACACCTGAATATGAAAAGCCTTTGGGTTCAACCGGGTGGATGTTCATCATTGCTCCTGAGTTGTTCTCAATGCCCCATTTCATGCTAGAGGGATTCATGGTCCGGAGCTCCCGTGGATCGAGGCTTAACACCTGCGAAGGATCCCGTGTTCAAGTCGATCGGCCTCACGTGCATCAAGGACCTGGGCGAGTGGAAGTACTACCGACGCTCGATCCTCGAGCGTGCCGACGCCTCGGGGTCGGCGCGGTCCGTAGTCCGTCGTTGCGTTGGTCGTCACTGCGGTATATAGTCTCTCTGGTGGATTGGGGTCAAGAGGAAAAAGTGGTGCAAGTTGGGAAGGGTTTTCTAAAGGATGCAGCATGATGCAGCTAAGGATGGGCTAAAGCCATTTGCACCCTTGCAGAAGTCGAGAGTGAGAATGGCTCCTCGTGATGCCAGATGAAAGATAGAAGAAGAACTGCCAACCCTGACCACCATGGACCATGTTGTTTCCTGGTATTTTGATACACGCATGTTTGTTTGCGAGTGAGTGGGCTTTCTTTGGCACAAGTAATTGCTTATTCGCACGTTATGCAGACGACATTTTGCACCAAAGCCGTGCAAAGAAGCTGCCAGCAGTGTGATCATCAATGGTGCACAGACTCAATTCGTTGTCTGTGACCCCGCCGTTGTTTCTCGCGCGCAGCGTTGTCGAAGAAATCAGCGTGCAGCACACTTAAGGCCAAGTGAAGGTGCTTGTGGTTCTCAGTTTCGGAACATGATTTGCAGTCCCCCAGGGCCCCAGTCCTTTCTCATCCTGTTTCATGCCATCTCAGCCTGCTCTGTTCTTTCCGCAGCTCGGCACAGACCGTCCCGGCTCCTGCACCGACCGTCGCTCCCAAAGATGGCTCCTCAGATGTCCAAGGCCGCTGCGGCCGCCGCGGCCGTGGCCGGAACCGCCTTCGTGGCCCTCCCTGGGCAGCGCGTCTCCGCCCCCAGCAACGCACCAGCTCTGCGTGGACGTGCGGGCCATGCGAGCAACACCGGGATGCTCAGCACGGTAGGCGGGGCGGGCGAAGCATGTGGAAACAAGGTCTTCTGTAGGTGATGATCCATTTGGGTTGAAGGCCGACGGCTCAGCAAAGAGCAAAGAGTGAGCTCTTACAATGCAAGGGAATCAAGCGTGGTTGATTATCACGACAAGATTTTACAAGAAGGTGTTTGTTGTCCAGAGAATCCCTTGCTGCAGGCGTTGCCCTGGGTGCCACAGCCGTTGCGGCATTGCGGAAGAAGGATTGAGCGGGTTTTTATTAATTCAATCGACGGAGATGACCACTATATATAGTCACTACCTGGCGAAACCAGTATGTTAAATTATGTTGTATATAAGTTAAGTTATAGTTATGTCCATGACTGACGATATACTTGTCACTCCCTCCCTCCATCTTGCAGAACAGCTTTCCACCCACCGGCGTTGTCACCGACTACTCGTCGTCTCCAAGGAGACCAAGGCATCGAGCGCCGTCCGAGCCTTTGAGAATGAACTTGGCGTGCAGGCGCCCTTGGGCTTTTGGGATCCTGCCGGCCTCTCGAGCGATGCTCGACTGGAAAAAGGACGGAAGGGAGCGAGGGAGGATCATGAGTCATGTCGTCATTGGGGTCGTCTGCAGCTGTTTTGTTCTTTTTCTCGTTCTCGTTCTTTTTCTTGTTGTCGTTGTAGTCGTCGTCGTCGTCGTTGTTGTTTCTTTTTTTTAGCGATAGGGTCAATGGTCGGGCGGGGGAAGCGTCTAGTGGGTGTTTTCATTTTTGGTGGTGGCCATTTTGGTGTGATTGGGTGTGAACGATGGGGCACTCGGAGTTGGAAGGGCACCCTCCTCCAATCCACGGCTTTCCCACATCGAAGCCACCAATGAAACCATGGCCGGATGTGGCACAAATGTTTCTATCCCAAAGCAACCAGTTGGAACAGAAAACCGTAGATTTGGGTGGTTGGACAACCCAGATCTCCCTGATCTTTCCTGAGGTCAAAGCAGAGCTTGATACTGTAGATCTAGAAACAGCAGGAAGCCACGATAAATCTCTTTGTTCTGTTCTCATTCTGACCTCTGAGGATGGTGATGCGAGGGAATTCTACCGCCGCCGCGTTGTGGAGATCAAGCATGGCCGTGTGTCGATGTTGGCTTGCACCGGCTACATCGTTCAGGAGTTCTTCCGCTTCCCGGGCTACATCTCCCCCAGCAGCGAACTGAAGTTCACCGACATCCCCAATGGTCTGGCGGCCGCCACCAAGGTCCCGGCCGTGGGCTGGTTCCAGTACACCATCTTCTGCGGCATTTGCGACCTGTGGCTCCTGCATCAGGTGCCCACCAACCCAGCAGGAAAGCTTTGCACTCGGCTCTTCGGAGAGGGAGCCACCAACTACGAGTACGGCTTCTTGGGCCTGCCGGGCTACCTGGGTGGCAAGGCCGCGGAAAAAAGAAACGAAGACACCACGATCACCTTTTGCATCCCGTGCAGCGACATTCACAAAGCCATGAGATCGTCAAGGATGCCTAGCAACAGGAACCACTCTCTTCGTTGGATCGGCATGAAAAGGCCAATTTTCAGTGTCCTCAGCCTTTGGGTTTCGAGCTTCCCCCCTATGGTGGACGCCTCCGGGTGTTGTCTGAATCGCTGGTTTTTTTGGGTGTCGGGGGGCCGGACTTGTGGGAGGCCATCGAGGACCCTGATGTGAAGAAGAAGAAGCTCAACGCGGAAATCGCCAACGGTCGTTTGGCCATGATGGCGATCATCGGAATGTTCTTTCAGGACCCTGCGATGGTGAAATTTCACTGCATTATCGGGTGGTGTTGTTTGTCTTGTTCAATGGTTCTCTTCTCCAGTGGGTTCAGACGAGGTCAGGTGTTACTGTAATTTTTTTGGTGTTGGGCCGGGTGGAAGTTTCATTCATGAACCAGACTGGTAACGCGAGATGGGCGTGGCCGTCTTCCAATTTCTTCAGAAAGAGCCGCACATCACCCAAAGAAGCTTTGAAGCACGACGAAGCGAGACCCGACCGATGGTGGAAACGGCCTGCGGCAAAAGCAGATGCAGAAATATGGGAGCCAATATGGGGTGTGGCTGGCTCAAGACATGAGATTTACGTAGGGACGCATGGGTCCTATGTAGATGGTTTTAGCATGCTTCAGCAATGTCTTCCATTTATCTATTTGTGAGCCATAGTAATGCCTTTTGTGGTGGCCCCATTGTATTGCTCTCTTGGTAGGTGTGATTTGCTCACTGGCGGTAGTGAGCAGAGTGAAAGCTCCACTGAAAAATGCTAAAGCGGAAAGATCTGGAGAGGAACAACTCCTAGGCTGCTAACGAATGGCAACTAACATGATCAACGTCTCCAATGTTGAAACAAGGCAGCCCCCGTGGGACCGTTCTGACCCCCTGCTCTTGGCGCTTCATGACCGTGTTTTTCGGCGAATCATTCTTCTTTCTTTCAACTCACCACAGTGAATATGTGTTCTGGTAAAGTGGAACAGACAAGATCAGAAACATCTACCACTGGATCAGCTGGTTGACCTGCCAAGTGGACGGTGGATGTCCGGATGGACGGCCTCGCAGGATGGTTTGACGGGCTCGGCCTGGGGTGATTGGGCCAACTACACCGAGTCGCCTTTGCGCGCCTTCGAGAGCGAGCTGGGTGTGCAGGTGCTGAACGGACTGTGAAACCTATAGAGACCTATATATATATATATATAGATACCTTGCTTATAGACTATAGATGCATCAGACTCTTCCCAGACTCATCCAAGGTGATGGAAGTGAAATTCACCCTCCAAGTTCTCCAACATAGGTCCAAGCGTCTCTGCCAAGACCGTTGAGTGTCCCATTGTCCTCCTCATGTCCTTTTCTTCCTTCAGACCCACCACCTTCCATCTCTTGCCTGCACCGCCTGCACCGACCACTCCACCGACCGAGCGGAGGCGCCCTTGGGCTACTTCGACCCCATGGGCCTCTCGAAGGACGGCGACGTGGACACCTTCCGCCGCCGCCGAGAGTGCGAGCTGAAGAACGGCCGCGTGGCGATGTTCGCCACCATCGGCGCCTCGGCAGGGACCATGTGTTGCAGAAAGGTGTGAAGGGTGGTGATTGAGATGAGAAGAGGTGGTGAGAAGTAGATGAGCAGATGAGAAGTCTCTTCTCCATCTGTTTAGGGGGTGAGTGTAGTAACTAGCTCGCATTGCAGTGCAAATACATGCAAAATACCAAGTGCAGCTCGAGATGACGGCGAAGTTCATGGGCAGAAAAGCTCCAAACGGGTGCACCAATGTGCACCTCCATTTCTTCAAGCGGCGCTTGAGGATACATGGTGCCGGAGTACTTCAAGTTCCCCGGATACTTGGCGCCTTCCGCGAACCTGAAGTTCGCCGACGTGCCCAATGGCGTCCAAGCCATCACCAAAGTGCCTGCTGAAGGCCGGGGGCCGTCCTTGCTGCTAGTAGCGATGCCCTTTGTTCCTAGTAGCTTCTTGCTACTATGGTTCAGAAGCTATGTGCAAGACTCTGAGATTAATGGGATTTCATATTTTTGGGGCCCGGCCCTAGCATGTTGTGCTCAAGAGGTGCGTCTTAGGAATGTTGATTCATGGACATTAAGTTTCGGAAGAGCAGTTGAAAGATTGGGCATTACCGCTTCAAAGTTCTCACAAGTTTCCTAATCTTGAGCTATGGTCATGGATCACATCCAAAATCTTTGGCTGGAAGTTCTTCGAAGGGGTGTGTTTTCGACCCGAAAAAGGTCGACCCTTGAAAGACGAGTCCAAAAGTCCGAGCAACCATCGACGTCCAAAATCCGACCTGACCTGGGTTTTAGAAATCCGAGCAAACATCGACGTCCAACATGCGGGCCAGCAGACTTGGACGGGCCATCGCTCTTAGCTATGGGTGGGTTCGCAGCTCTTAGCTAATGCCGGCGGTCGCCATTCGGACGAACAGTGGGTTCGCAGCGGTCAGGCTGGCTGCAATGGGTGGCGCTCTGCGGTCTCTATGAGTTTTGCGTGAACACCCCCGTGGATCCCGCGGAGCCTGGCAACTATGGCGGGGCCTGGAGAGGGCGGTGCGCTTTTTTTCTTTTTTTTGTTCGGCGAAGAGGGTGGGTTGGATGATGGTTGGATGGGCAGAGACAGTTAGTTTTTTTTCTTTTTTCCGCAGCAGTTGGATATATAATCGAGACAGACAGCTCATTCGGCTGACTTGGGAAACATCTTCTTTCGACGTTTCACCACGACGTATTTTTTCGTTCGCCATCAGCTTTCGGTAGGTGTTGGTATCATGTCAGAATTTCCTGCTCCAATCATCCATTTCTCTTACGTTTGTTTTGAACCAACATGAAGCAACCTCAGTTTCTTACCTCAAAAATGGTTCCTGTCAGTGATGAGCATGGTGAGGGTTTGCTATTCACTGATACAGGGCAGGGTCAGGGTCAAAAACATATACACAAGATCAATAGCGCGAATGGATCATTTCCGCTTGACAGAAGCCTTTTGGGAACTACTGGACCCTCGGATTTCACATGATTTCACCAATCCACCTCAAAACCACTTCCCCTTGTGAAGGTGTTTGAGGTCGATTACTGATCAATGTCTATCATTTGGCAATGACCATAGCCTTGACGTGATGGGTATGGCTCAAACAGTAAGGCCCACGAACCTCTCATAGAAATAGAGAGCTGGAGTACGTTGACAGCGTCGAAAACACCTGGGAGGTGCGACCAGCTCCGCTAGCTCCGCTAGCTCTGCCAGGCAAGGGCAGGTTGGGCTATGGCAACATGGTCTTGGGCATCACCGCAGAGCCCATGCAGGATGCCGAGGCGAACGACGCGGATTCGAACGACACGGAAAGGAGTGGAACCACTTGGTTTTCGATGGCGTTTTCGAGGAATAGGATGGAAAAAAGAGATCGGATGCGGTCGTTTTGAGACTGTAGCTCTAGGACTTTTGGAGTCTTTCTTTTTGGTTTTCCGCCAGGCCAGGAAGCGCGCCTTGAACTCCGAGTTGGCGAACGGGCGTTTGGCCATGATGGCCATCGTTGGGCTCTGGGTGCAGGAGAGCATAGAAACTAAAGAGGGAGGATGGGTGCAAGGGTGCTTGCAGAGTGAGGGTGAGGGTGTAAACGGCAGTGGTTCCTACACTTGTGAAAATCATGAGACTATATGTGCCATGAATATCATTTGTTTACAAGAACGCCTTCAACCAATCCTTCACGATCTACATGGAGATGGCCAGAAACTGCCTGGAACATGAAGAACGTAACGGGACTTGACAGATTTGTGGCCCAACGAGTTTCTTTATCTTTAGACAGGTATTGTTTGATGAGCTTGGAAGGTTTCTCTTTTGAAACGTATCCGTCGTACGACCTGAGACCAGTTTTTATATATTTGTTTTACAAACAGCATTTGGACGAAAGAACAGTTACTAACCCAGCCTGCTGGGACTGTGCCTTTTGTCTTGATCCAAATGAATTCAGCCGACGCATTGGGCGGGTCTGCTGAATTCATTTGGATCAAGACTAAACGCACAGTCCCAGGCTCAGTGAGCATCCCTGGTGATGTGGAGGTAGCACGACGTGGGTTCTGCACGTCGTTCTATGAAAAGATTTCGCTTATCCTCAAGTCCAATTGCTGGTGATGAAGGTCCTTAGGCGATTCCAGAACCTTGGGCAACAAACATGCTACCTGTAGGGTCTACTAAGACGAGGGCCCCATCTTCAAACCAAAAAGCAGACTTTGCTACCAGACGCCGCCGGAATCCGCTTGAAGCTTAAACCCAAAACCGCTTCGGGAGGACGGCCTCTTTGGCACGCCCTATGGCCTCTACACCGGCTCCAGTGCCTTTGAGTCGGAGCTGGGCGTGCAGCCGCCCGTGGGCTTCTGGGACCCCTTGGGCTTTACCAAGACCGACGATGCCGCCTCCTTCCGCCGCCGACGCTACGTGGAGCTCAAGCACGGCCGTGTGGCCATGTTCGCGGCTCCGGCGAAGCAGGGAAGCGGCAGGAGTGGTCCAGAAAACCTAGAGGTCAGTTGGACCTCATTTCTCTGAAGTTGATCACACAGAAAAGAAACGTTGTCCACTGAAGTAAAGGACCAGGTTTTACTACCTGGCAGGTTCATTTTCCCCGTTTTTTAACGTTCAAACGCGTGGGGTGGGGTGCCAGAACGGTCGGCGAGGGTCTTTTCATTCGTGGGGTGTCGCACGCGAATGAAGTTCGCCCTTCCGAGTGTGAGAGGTGAAGCGTTCAGGAACTGGTGAGTGAAGCGTTCAGGTCGTTTTTCCAAGTACTACCTGAAGCTGAAAAAGTGGCAAGCCAAAGTACTCTTTTCCAAGTAGCCGATGTTTCCCACCCAGTTGCGAGCAAATGCCAAGGCCTGCCTGGGATACATTGTGCCTGAGTACTACCGTTGGCCCGGCGATTTGTCGCCTTCCCTCGGACTCAAGCAACTGGGAGAAAAAAGTCGTCACAATCCTGGTCGGCACGACGGCGCGAAAGAAGTAGCAGAGCAACAAAGCAACAAACTAATTTTCCAAAAGAACATGACAATGTCCAATCTGCAGAAAAGAGATCTGTGATTCGTTTCTTCCATCTCCGTGGAATTTTCGAAGGTGAAACTTTCATCCACCGTGTGCAAGTTAAGCCCATGGCCATGGCATTCGCACTCATGGTGACATCCATGCGGTGCTGACATCCGTGAAGATCCTTTTGCACAGATAGCATGGGATTCGACCCCAAGTTACAGGTTCTGTTGGAACTCATTTGCTTTGTTGTTCATCTTACCCACTGCGCCAGGATCCGAAGGAACTCCAAACGGTCGAGTTCGCCATGTGCAGAGCCTCATGGGTCCCTTAAAGGGACCAAACACTCCCCGAAAGAAATCCTGGATGGCATGGTTCCGATGTCGGATGACCGTTTTGCTCCACGAACAGATGGTGCCATCCACGTAACCACGATGGTTTCAGGGAGTGTCGGGAAAGGACCTCCTTCCGAGGTTCACTGACGTGCCCACTGGCTTCGCCGCCTTCAGCAAGGTGAGGACTTGTCGGGCACATGTGGATGCAACGAACGAAAGGGACCAAGAAACCCTTGAAACCAGCTATAGACATTCCTCTTGGTCTTCTAGACGCTATAGCGTTTTGTTCGATTTCCCCTTTGAAAAGCAGAACTAGCCAAGGGAGACTTGAGTGACTCACGCTTCTGCATGGCCTTCAAGCTGGACATCCACCAACCAGCCTTTCTTTCGATGATTTTCGACTCGTTCGACCCCGGAAAACGCGGCCCTGGCGACAGACGGTGGTTGGAGAACCACTCTTCTGGCCTTCAACCGAATTGACAAGGACATCATCCGGACACATCTCCGCGCTCCGCGCTCCGCGCTCCGCTGGGACGTCTGTCAGGTGCCCTTGAGCGGCTGGGCTCAGATGGTCTTCTTCGCTGGGAGCGTCGAGCTCTTCCAGTACGTGTCCTGGCAGTTTCGGTGAGGATGGGGGGTTTCGGACATTGGGCTCCTTGTTTTAAGGAGAATTGGAACGTTTTGTGTCTTTTTGGGGGTGGCCAGAGCAAGATGGCGAAGATGGTGCGTTTGCGGGCGCGCTGAAAGCTTGGAGGAGTTTTGCACCACCTGAAGTGCTGATCTTTTGCAACTGGATTCTCCTAAATATTTGTGTAGGCTTCTTCCAAGTCTCAACTCTGTGGTTCTTCGGCTTCGTCAAGTGACAGCCCCAGATGTTTCATTCAGACTTGAGATTCGTTTTGCAAACACACACTGTCACACACACACACAAGAAGAACTTGAACAGCTTCGCCCTGCGTCGCCCGACCGACGCCCCGGATGCACCGACATTTGTCGCAGGTGGACGATCCCAAGCGCCCTCCAGGCGACTTCGCCAACGCGGGCTTCCTCGGGGTGCCCAACAGCTTCTTGGAAACAGGGAAAAAGACGCTGAAGAGCCTCTGTGGGTTTCCTTTTCTCCCTAGATAGGGTGAGCTATTGGGGTTCTTACTCCAAGTATAAGAAGAGCTGCATGTGTGCGTTTTCGAGCCTGCGTGCTGGTGCTGCTGCAGGGTGCCGCTGCTGTTCCAGTATAGGAAGACCTTCATGTTTGCGTGTTCGAGCTTGCGTACTATTCCGCTGCAGGGTGCCGCTGCTGTGTGCGCTTGGGAGCTTGTGTGCAGGGTGCCGCTGCAGGGTGCTGCTGCTGTGTGCCCTTGGGAGCTTGGGTGGAGGTGCCACTGGAGGGTGCGCTGCAGAGTGCGCTTGGGAGCTTGGGTGCTGCATCCTTTTAGACACAGTCCAAGATGGATCAACATAGCATCGACATAGCTCCAAGATGGACCAACATAGCCGCAACATAGCTCCAGGATGGGCCATGGCCCCAACATGGCTCCAAGATAGGGCAACATAGCCGCAACATGGCTCCAAGATGGGCCTACATAGCCAATATGGCTAAGATGGGTCAACATAGCACCATTATGGTTGTTATCTCGGACCCCAACCGAGCCCTGCTTACGCCCGCCTGTACCCTACAAGGCCACCCTACAAGGCCTGCACCTGACGCCTGCACCTGCCCTGCTTGCCTGCCCGGCCCGCTCTTAGGCGTAAGCCCTCAAATCTTTTTGCTATCTGGGGTATATGCTGGCGTGTTTTTTTCAGATTTCATGGCGCTGAAGCGGGGTTGCAAACTACAAAAGCCACCAGACGCTGAAGGCACCAAAAGTACATCATCATCATCATCATCATCATCGAAAACTACACACCCTATCGCCCCATCAATGAGCACAGGACAATGAAAAGATGCATGGAACCGCTTGCAACACAAAATCAAAAAGACTTAAGCGAGTGTGCGCAATGTTTTGACCAATGGATCAGGGCACCTACTCTGGACTTTTCTGCATGATCCCCTGTTCTAATGTTTGTTGATCCTGTTCTCCTGCTCTTCTGATCTAGATGCCGGAGCTCTTCCACTGTGCAGCAATAAGTTGCCGGAATCCAAAAAAACACCTAGTGCCTGCTTCTGGTGGGGCTTTCTTTTTTTCAGGGCTTGGGGTTGGAGCTGGATGGGGATCTTCCTTCTTTGGATGTGTTCTCCTTGACCTCCATAGCAGGACAAGGTGCTGGGAACACTTTTAGAGAAGCTTTGGCTCCTTTTCCTTTCATTGCTCGCTGGAATATTAATTGATCCCCATCGAATATTTTCCCCAAGCAGTTTACTGTTGGGGTTCTCTCTAAGAAAGTTACACCGGCATAGATAGGTTTGTCATCCCTGGCATGGCGTGATGTCTTAGCACCAGCGCCAGCAGGGCAGCAGCGCCCGCAAAACGACACGCCGATCCAGAGACAGCAACTGCACCAGCGCCAGCAAAACAGAACGCCGATCCAGCGCCAGCGCCAGCGCCCCACCAGCGCCCGCAAAATGCAACAGCGCCCGCACCAGCACGGCAGCAGCGCCCGCAAAACAGGACGCCGATCCAGAGCCACACCATTGAGAAGTAAGAGCCCCTTGTCCTCCTTTAGTCCTTCTCTTGTCCTCCTCTGTCCTTCTCTCATCGTTTTGCCCTTCTCTCCTCCTCTTGTCCTTCTCTGTCCCCCTCTTGTCCTTCTCTTGTCCTCCTCTTGTCCTTCTCTTGTCCTCCTTTTGTCCTTCTCTTGCCCTCCTCTTGATCTTTGTGCCTGCTTGCCCACGTTGTCGGCCCTTTTATCACCGCCTTGTCCGGGCCTTGTCCCCTGCTTGGCCACTCCGCCTTTTCTTTCTCCACCTCCTTGTCTGTTTATGTTGCGGGTGGCTATGAATGCAACAGTGATACAGCGTTTGAAATGCGGTATCACCCTTGGCTTTTTGATGACAGTATCCCATCGGTTTTGCACATGTGAGACGGGCATCAGGAACTAGTGTTTTCAAACATTTATTGTTTACGTGCAGTTCCCAAGCACCTGGCTATAGAGAAGTATGCATGCAGCCGTTCCCACCAACATTGGATTTCAAGGAAATGATGCCCAAAAATAATGCTGACACTGTGTGGGGTCTATGCTGGTATAATTTATTGATGTGATTCTTTTGTTTTTGAACCCTCACCCCACAGTTCATTCGTTTAGAGACAGAGATGCGTTTGTTTTTGTTCCAGTTTGAACGTCTTTACAACTCCAGGAACCTATAGGCATTTGAGTTTCATCACCACCCAAGGTGGGGGGGTTCTTGCTTGCTATGCTGTCGTTTTTGGGGGACCGCCAGCCAGTGCCCAGCCTCCACCGGGCGGTCCGACACGGTCGCCCTGGTCGCCGCCCCGCTCAGCACGGGCGCCTCGGCACCGGCGAGGCTTCGTGAAGGCACCAGCGGACACCAAGGAGAAGAAACTGGCCGCGGAGATCGCCAACGGACGATTGGCCATGATGGCTCCTTGGTGGGAAGAGGGGATCGGTCCCAACTTGCGAAGGCACTCTGCACTAATGTGACAGGAACATGCTTGATAGCAACATTCATTGAACATCGTCGAGTCATCGCGTTTCCGGGAGATTGACTCATCTTGCTTTGATGGTGCCTTTTTTGGTCCCGCAAACAAATCACCCAGCCGCTCAATGAAGCCACTGCAGGCAATCATTGGAATGTTCTTCCAGGAGTGGGTGAAAGACATTGTCAATTGTGATCTTTCTCTTTCCGTTCCGATTAACCCAATTACACATGGCTGTCCCTCTGTTGACTCCGCAGGATGGTTTGACTGGCTCTGCCTGGGGCGACTGGGCCAACTACACCGACTCCCCACTGCGCGCGCTGAGCCCGGCGCAGGTGTCCGGAACCCATGGAACGAACGCCGCACTCTGACTCACGAGCGGTGTCAGCTGTCTGTTTGGCACGTTGGTTGGAACATCTTCTTAATCAGCGCCTCTCCCTTCGGCCAGAACCACCTGATGTGTATTGCTTCATGTGGGGGACCCACAGCCATGTACCTACAAGAAGGGTTGTCAGAAAGACCCGATCGAAACAGCGATCCTTGTTTCGTCGATGTCAAGCCAGGAGTGCATTGCGGGAACTGGAGGTCCTTTGCCTGACATGTATTGGGACCCGGCTGGCATCTCCAGCAAAAAGAGCAAGGAGGAGAGGTTTGGTTGGTCTTCTTTGAGATAAGAAGCAGACAGGATTCTGGAGAGATCGAGTGCGACGTACTTAGTCCTTCTTGAATTGAAAGAGCTTTCTCATTCAGAATGATAAGGATAAAGACCACGACGAAGGAGATTATGATGACGCACACGAAGAAAACAACGGCGACGAAAAGACCACGCCTTATTTCATTAACATCTGTGTTCTTATCTCTGTGATCTGCTAGGTACCCTTTTTTAGATCACTGTTTCTGCTCACAGCTCACGACTGCAATGGAGAGATGTGTTTTTCAAGCGCGAGTTATCACCAGTTATCAACCTGGGCAAGCCTAGAGTTGTTTGAGGAAGTTAAGCTTCCACTGGGTGTGATATATATATATATATATTTATTTGTATATCTATATATATATAACTTGTAACAAACATTAAATAGTAAACAATTAGGACATAACTAGCATCAAAAATAGGACAACAATAGCATCAACAAAAGGAAACACATATAGGAGAACGACGGAATCCGAATCGAAACAAACAGGAACAAGACAACCTGGATGAAGCAAAAGAAGCAGCAAGAAAGGAAACCCAACCATGAACCAAGAGCTCAGGAGCTGGGCCCTGGTGGAATTCGGTGGGGGTTGGGGCGCCGTTCTCGAGGCCGCGCGGGGGGGTCTAAGGGTCTGGCGGCCAGCAACAAGCCCCCCCTACAAGATTCCATTCGAGGTCTGGGCCCATCTGACCCGAAAGCAGCAAACACCTCGAAAAAAGTTAGGAACCAATTTGCGCGAAATAGGAACAGTTAGGGAACATAGGCATCAAATAGAAAACAATAAGAACAACGTACTGTAGGAAAAACATCGGCCGCTTGACCACCCCCCGCCGTCTCCACCCCGCACCCTTCCGCCCCTCGACCCCCCTCCCCACCACCCTCCCTTGAACACTCTTGATTGTTTAGTTCGCCTTAGCTCTTCAGATGGCGGTATTGATCCTTGTTGCGGTATCCTTGCTTCTGGTGTTTCAAGAGCCCAGAGTTGCTGTGCTTCACTCTTCCGACCCGAAGTGATCAAGAAAGAAATCATCCACATGCCTTCTAAGTCTTGATCTCCCCTTTCTGCGTCCACTGCGCTGTTCTCTCACTCCCTTTCTTAAACGCGGTGCGTTTGTCGCTGCCTTCCTGCTGCATATGAGTCCATCGAGAGTCTGTTTCCTTGCATTCCTTGCTGCTGCTATCACTGCTACAACACTCTTGCCATCAACCGCTACCCTTGTTGTTGCCTTTGGACTCAATCTCAATCTCCTTGGACTTCCACTCCTGCTATCACTGATGGGTGCTGAGTCGAAGATGAGAGCAGCTCTATAGATTTAAAAAGGCTGTGCTTCTCAATTGATCGGGTCCCTTAAAGTACCGCGTGCAGCTGCGACCTCCATTCACTCCACGTACTGGAAGCCGCGAGCAGGAGATCTTGGAGCTGAGGGCTCAGGAGCTGAAGCACGGGCGCGTGGCCATGTTGGCGGTGATCGGCTGGTTCCATGTGGCCGGCGGCTTTCACATCATCGGGGACTACGTGCCCTGGAGAGTTGGAGGGGGTCGGGGGAGTTGCGAGGGTTGGTCTGGTGTTAGAATAGGGAGACATCCCTACTAGACTCGACCCCCTGGAAGAAGGGAAGTAGACACACCCGCATGTTTTTGGTGGTGGAAAAGGTCCATGTGGACTCGACTATGGGGAGTTCCTTGGATGACAAGCTTCGCTCAATTTTTTTTTGCCCAGATCATTTGTTTCTCATCTTCATCCAAGGCGGTGGGCGTGCACTTGGATGACAACCCTTTGGTGAGCCTGACGCAGATGCCCATGGGCGGTATTTGGCAGGCGGTTTCTGACGCTGTTCGAGTTGAAGCAAGGAATCATTCGTTTTTGCGTCTCAAAGCCCAATGGAAGGTATCTCACACGGGTTTGATGAACTTGGATGGTCCATGAATATAGTCCATCCCAGCGACTTCAGAAGTATCTTCCGATGGGCCTTGGATGGGCCCCAAAAGGACTTGGGACCTGTGACCAGGTGGTCTTCACGATCATGTGCCTTGAATGGCTCACCACCTACGTTTGCAAGCCTCCGGCGGAGAAGCCTTGGGACATCCTGGGCTGGTCCGACATCCTGATTGAGGATGAGAAGAGCATCTGGAATCAGTTCAGGAAGGCGGAACTCCAGGAATCCTTCCGTTGCTTTCGTCGTTGCTTTCGTCCACATGCCCTTTGCCCTCAGTTCGGCGTGCTTTTGTGTGAGCAAATCCTTCGTTGTTCGGCTCAGCAAATTTCTTCGCGAAGTGTTGGGTCTTGGCATGACCCCCCCAAAGATGTGAAGCTGTTCCATGCAGGAGCTGAACAACGGCCGCCTGGCAATGATGGCCATTGTCGGGCTGATTACCCAGGCAGGGTGGGGGGGCTCCTCCAGCTGCCATCTCAAAGGACCAGCAAAGTCCATCCAAGCACGAAATCGAAGTTCCCAAAATGAAGCAGAACTTCAACATGATATTATGACATATATATATATATATACATAAATCTATTTGTATATCTATAGTGATCCACTATTATATAAACAGAGTCAAGGATGTTTATTCCTAATTTCAATTACACGAATGGATGGATGTCTAAACCTGCCGTTTGCAACACGCAATCGACTCGGGGTCCTCTGGATGGTGGGCACACCCGCTGACCACATTGGTTCCGCCAGGATGTGCTCTTTGGCGAGTACGGCCAGCGGTTTGCCCAGCTGAACTGGGACAAGAACTTCTTCCCCCCCAGACCAGGGCGTCTATGAGCCTTTCGCCACCTTCTCATACCCGACCATCTTCCCAGAGCTGTAAATGAGGAGCAGTTGGGGGTTGAAGCCTTTTGGGGTCACAGGGGTACTGCCTTTGGAATTGCCGATTGAACACGTGCCCAGGAGCTGGAGCTGGAGATTGATAGTGCAGAAGAATTCGGTCCTAGAATGCCAGACGGCGCCGGAAACAGACGGCTGTGCCAAAAGCACCCCCTGACGGCTGTGCTTTCTCAAAGAGTTTATGGAGGTCAGCTGACTTTCTCGTTGGCTTGCCAAATCGAGACGAAGATTGAATCGTCTCACGTCGAAAAGTCTTTGCGCCCTGCCCTTTGCTTGGACCATTTTGAACCAACAAGATCTCAATGGTTTGGCAACTTGACCCCACAAAATTCAACTCCTGAGGAACGAGGCATTTGCTAGGCATGCTAGACTGGGCCCCGTGAAGCTGGAATCACTTCGTGGTGGGCCCCGACCTCCTCCGACCTCCTCCGACCTCCTCCGACCTCCTCCGTCCGCCTCCGACCGCCTCCGACCGCCCGCGGAGGTGCTGGCGGAGGAGCCCAATACGCACGTCATCATCATGAGCAGCTTGGAGCAGGATCTCCTCACCCAGGCGCTTGGTGTTGACGGTCCCACCTCGAGGGAGGGTGACAGGTGGGTGACGGTCCCACCTGGAGTCCGTTCTTCGACTGCGCCCTTGGCACCGTGACGAAGTACGTGCGACTGATGAGACCGCCAGTCACTGCGTCCGAACTCTCGGATCCCAAGAGGTGGCCGAATGGCCAAAGTCAGCCCTCGGTGGCAGCTGCTTGCTTTTGTTCTTGTTTCTTTGAGCAGAAGACGCATATCAGATGCTTGGGTCTAGGCCATTGGCAACCTGCCTTGCTGGATCATCGCTGAAGGAGGTGTTTGTTACCGGGAGTGGTGACCTCAGCAGCCTCAGGGAGTGGTGCCCTTTCAGCTTTCCAACCCCGGGTGCGTCCAACCCACTCGACTGGAAGACAGAACCGAACTCGGTCCCAAGGCCAGATGGGACCTGGTCGAACATGGAGCTCCTGGACAAAGAGTGGTTGGCACCTGCAAAGGCGAAGAATCCGAGTCGAGACCGTCGAAGACGGTGTTCGAGACGGGCGTCGTGTAGACTCTAGACGGATTGAAGCGGATGGCTTCTTTGAGGTGAGGAACAGGACGTTAATGCCTAGGGGGAGGAAGGTTTGGATGAACACCCGCTCCCTGAGTTCCCAGCAATATGACTGAAAACGATTCAAATACCAGGTGGGTTCGGACGGAAGCCTTGCATGCACCAGGGGTCTGCCCTGCGGTCCCAGAGCCACGTTCCCAACTTTAGAAGTTAAGGGATTGGAGGCAACTACTTGACATGACTCGACGACAAACCCTTCTTTCCAGGGGACGAACGTGATTACTGGCCGGGGCCTGTCAGGAGATCATGGAGTACTTCGCTGCTCGAACTCCGGGCTCACGGGTCATTGAAACCAGTGTGCCCGGCACACCTTCGACCCGTCCGGCTCCACCTGTCCGGCTGGGCGGTCCTGTGTGTGGTCCTCTGGGATGACTCAACGAGATTTCAGTGACGATGACGATGGCTTTCGCTTGGAAAATCGCATGCTGAAACCAGCAGAAACAGTGGGGTCTACTCACTGCAGACAGACCCACATCTTCCTGCTTTGTGTCACTGAATCGATGAAAAAATCCATGCCCCGTTCATGGCGCTCGTGCCAGTGTCCTCGGTGTCCTGGCATTACCAGAAGACCCAGGGCGACCATGCTGCCATCCAGTCCAAGGCGCGTCCAACCATTTGGTCGTCCTGGTCGTGCTGGTCGCGCTTTGGGGCGTCGCCATGCCACGACAGGGAGACGGAGCCATGTCGCCCCGAAAGAACGTGAAAAGGACATCTGATATCCAATTTCAATGACATATGACATACCTGGATCTTCCAACGGTGTCAAATGTATGCTTTTCCATCTATAAAACTGGCCAAAAAGACTGAAATTTGGCACAGTTGGAGGATCTAGGTATGCATGACCTATGGAGCGGATGGAAAACCCGGATCGATTTAAGTAAATGACCCAGCTGGCATTCCATGGAGTCCTTGCCGCATCCACTCACTGGATGGAACTGCTGGTACCCGGAAGTCTAAAGAAAAAAGGACATTCTTTTGAAGTAAAGGATGTTCCTCTTCACTCAGGTCACTTGGAGTCGGACCCCTTTTGAAAACAGTGAAACTGGACGTCCAGAAGGCTTTTGTTGGATCATGTTGGATCTCTTTTTCTCTTTTCTTCCCCCCGAAAACGGGCCAAGCGGACGCCTCCGCAGCCTGAGGAGTTGATGATCCACCTCTGGGCCGGGCCGCTCCTTTCGGCGCCCGCGGAGGCGGCACAGTGGGAATTCCTTCGATCTCGTTCGGTACATGTTTATATAAGGAAAACTATTAACTCTACTTCATGTCCTCTTTTTTCCAAACGTAGCCATTGCCATACAACATTCTATTCACATGATTAGTAGTCTGTCATGATTTTGGATGTTGGATAGAAGTATGAGGGGGTAATTAGGCATCTCAGAATAAAAGATCATGATTTTTTCAGAACTCAAGGCACCACGAAACATCAAAGCCTAACATATATCCAGACTTCCAAGAGGGAAGAATCACACCAAGAGGGAAGGGAGAAACAGACCGGTCGACGGCTGTAGCCCGGTCGAGGTGGTGGTGGGCAACGACGAGGTGAGTGTCCGACCCACTGGGGTCAGCAAAGCACCTGGGCCGATCAGGGCCGGGTCTACTGGTTGGACGCGGGACGCGAAGCGAGTCCAACCAGTGGAAGCAAAGGGTGTGGGCGAAACAAAACCAACAGAGGTTTTCTTGGAACGGAGGTGCTGTTCTGTCTTCTTGTTGGGAGATGGTGGAAGGTGTGGAAGGTGTTCTGGTATTTTCTCCCAGATTCTTCTGGGTTTGGTTTGGACCAGACCAAGGACCGAGTAGAACCTGGTCCCACTTAGAGGGCCGTTTTGGGCCATTTTCCCGGACTTTCGGTGAAATGCGTTCCGCCCGTAAGACCTGTAGGGGTCTGTTTGTTGTATCATGTGTTATAGAACTTCATGTTGTCAGCACTTCCGGGCTGAGCTGCTGACCGTTGACGGGGTGAACCCCTTTGGGAACATGACTTCATGTTGACCGATGCTGGGCGATCGAGGCGTCCCAACTCGAGAAGATCTTGCAGAGGATTTGCTGCGAGGCTGGAGCTGAAGAGGGGACGCATCTAAGGATCCATCCATCGGGTTGAAAATGGCTCGTCGGTCTCCTGATACGAAAAAGGAGCCAAACATGATAGGAGATCCTCCTTGGTGCTATTTTTCTCCTTTGCCAGTTTGTGTGCATGGTGCCATATTCTTTTGTGATCGGCCGGCATTCTTCGTTTTCTCGCACAGGACGGAGGCACGATGTCTCCAAAGTGGCTTTCTGATGCTCGGGCGACACAGATCCTGGGTGTGGTGAGCTCCCCAAAAGTCGTTCAAGAACGGTCCTCTTTGACTTTTTGGCTCGAACAAGTGGTGGAGAAAAGACGCTAAGATGGAGACTTGTATCACTTCCCAAGAATGAATTAGGTTTTTCGTTAGGATCTCAATCTTTCGAAATCGTTCTGGAGTGATCAGGGTCCGTTTTTTGGTTGATCAACCAGGTGCTTCGGCCGAATGATGAGTTGTTTGTTTGTTTGTTTTTTGTTGTCAAATTTGCCAAGACTTAAAGACTTGTGAATGTGAAGGCGACTTGATGGCTCAAGTGGTTCTCATGGGAAGGGAGAACGGCGAAGCCCATGAAACGGTGCTGTGGAAAGGACTCTCTCCATTGGGAGTGACACTGACCATGTTAGCCAACAGCAAGAAGCTGATATGGATGAACGTTCATTTAACAATACGAAACATGAGCATCGCAACATTTGTGTTTAGGGGATGACCCCTTTTTGCTAGGTGCCAGGTGCTAGGATCTTAACTTTTCAAGTTTTGGTGGTGAAAACATGTGAAAACCATTGGTTCGCGGATCTTCAAAGGAAACACTGCCAGCCCAAGCTAGCTTTGGTGGTCAACACTTTCAGCTTGCAAGGACCATAAGTGGCTTCCAAGTCCTAACAACACTGTTGACACGAGGTTGTGGTGATCTGCATGAGCGACCTCATTACGAAAGATGAGGTGGGCAGTCTTCTTGGGCTTCTTGTTTGCAGTGTGGAAGAAGGCCCATTCAGAATCCATGACCGGACCGGCAAAAACAGCCACCAGGGCACCATTGGGCACTTCGCCGACCAATGTTGCAGGAGTTGAAGAAGTGCCAATTTTGCACTGTTTTGAGAAACTCCCTGCAGCTCTTATGGGGAAGCACAGAGACCTTGCCATACCCGAAATGCCAATCGCCTAATCAGTGCTCACTGCTTGTTGTTTTTCTTTTTTTTTTTCAGAGCTCCTTGCAGTGCTCGGTTCGGACTCCGTTTCACCCCCACCGAACGATGACTTCTGTTCTTCCCACAACGATGCTTCTGTCCTGGCACTGGCTCGAGATCAAATGGGTGAAGCGCACTCTGTTCGGTACGCTCCGAACAGAAGTGGAACATGGCCACGGATGGAGATACCATGATGAACAGCTGGTGAACTCACTCCACGTAACCACGATGATGAAAGAAAGAGTGTCAGGTATAGACGCCTGGACACAAACAACATGGTCTTCGGATGTTTTTGGAACCCTCAAGAGCCTTGTTTTGATCACTGCGAGGAAAAAGCGCCGCGTGTTTCCCTAGTTGTCCGCCGCCAGCGATGAAAGTTGGCGGGGCCAGGACGTCTACTTGACACTGCAGAAGTTCTTTGAGCAAGATGCAGCGGACAAATGGAAGGCCAGCGAAGCTGTGCGGCTAGTTGGCAAACAGCACCCTCCCCCCCCTCAGGGTGCTTTTTCCATCCAAAGCCAATTAGTCGTTTCTTTTCTCATCACTTCCACACAGGGCTCCCTCTTGGACGATTCTGCGTTTCTGGACTTCATCCCCTGCATCCGACTGCCTTCCTGTCACCTTTCCAGTACAGATGCTTTCCCTGTTCCAATCTCCATCCATCCGGGCGGTTTCGGCAGGGTCGTTCCAAGGTCTTGCCGCCCGCGCGCGTGTACCGTGTCGGACCAGGTCACCTCGCCCTCCTTAGACCGCCTGCGCAGCGATGACTCCCACGTGTCCGGCCCCATGCGCACGGGCGGGAGCCCCGGACGCCTGAGAGTGGGGTGGTTGTCTCATGCGCTGCACGGGTGAGGAAGATGTACATGTTGGGGGCGATGTTCTTGGGTTTTCAGACAGATTTCTGGGGCAGGGACAGCCGGAGCTTCCTTTTCTGGCAGGGACCGAACAAGATCTCATAGACCGGTGGGATGAAGAAGAGGTGCACCAAGGACCGAGGAATTTGGGCGAACGACCAGTGAAATGGTGCGAAATCGCCTGGTGGTTGGCTTGGGGAACAGGTCTGATGGAGGTATGGAGAGGATAAAGTCGAGTTCCTCAACTGCGCAGGATTCCGCAACTAGGATTCCGCAACTATTTGGTCGGATTCCGCAACTGGGATTCTGCAACTAGGATTCCGAAACTAGGATTCCGCAACTGGGATTCCGCAACTAGGGTTCCGCAACTAGAATTCCGCAACTAGATTTCCGAAACTAGGATTCCGCAACTGTCAGGATTCCGCAACTAAGATTCTGCAACTGGGCTTCCGCAACTGGCGTTCCGCAACTAGGATTGTGGATTCCCTCACTAGGACTCCGCAACTTTTGTGAATGATGAGGGGGTTGGCGTGATGTCGAGATCACACGATGGGGGGTGGGGGGCTACTGACGTTGGTTTGGATGTGCTTCGCTATCGCATCATGTGGAGATCACCAGTTGCAGAATACCAGTTTCAGAATGCCAGTTGCAGAATCTGACTTTCCAGTTTCAGAATCCCAGTTTCAGAACCAGTTGCAGAATCTGACTTTCCAGTCTCAGAATACAAGTTTCAGAATCACAGTTTCAGAATCCTAGTTTCAGAACCCTAGTTTCAGAATCCGACCGATTAGTTTCCGAATCCGGCTCTAACCGGTATGGAGACCCCTGGAGAGATCTCGAGCATATGGAGAGCCTTATGGAGAGCCACCGATTTGGGCTGGTACGTGGACCTTGGGCTCCACCCCCCAGAGGACTCAGTGATGAACCGCCCACCGGCTTAGGCTGTTCTACTACGTACTTCTATTGGCATCGCGCTGGTGTGGTAAAAACGATCTTTTTTGAGACGCACAACGGAAAAAAACGGAGTTCAAACAAGTGGTGTGGTACTCCTGTATGAGGTGTTCTAGAGAAAAACACCCTTTCTTCCCTACCCCCAGTCTTCCAAAGAGGTCTTCCCCTGGTTTTCTGTCCTGTGGTAGACCTAGCTTGTGGTGGGGCATAACAATTGACTGTCCTGTAGACATATATATTGAATGGATTTAAGAACAGCTGTGGAGGGAACGCAAGAAAAAATCGTCGGTATATTGTTAAATTGTTTTCGCAATTGTTTAATTGTTTTGGAAATTGTTTTGTACATTTTAGAAATTTCTTAGAATATAAAAAGAAGTTGTTAACAATTGTTGCGAAATTGTTAAGAATAAGTAGAACATTTTGAAACAATTCTTGTAAACAATGTTCATTGTTGAAAACATTTTTTACAAAATTGTTTGCTTCTATTGAGGCCTCCCTTGCTGTCTTGTTTGAGCTGTTGTTCTCCGAAACTTGAACCTTTTGAAGGCTTGGGCGCAGGCACAAATTCACTTGTTAATTGCCATTGTCGGCCCAAGCCTTGGAAGACAAGAGTAGCGAACTAGTCTTGCTATTATGACATATTTGTATTGCTGGTATACGAACTAGTCTTCTGAAATACTTTGCAGACTTTTTGACAGAGGCAGAAAAAGAAATTGCCAGACGATGTGCTAAAGACTGCAATTGTGATTTCTTAGGGACCCCATCGCCATCGCCCCGAAAGCGGGCGTTGCCTGCTGATGAGTGCTTGACGCCTCAGCCTGTGAAACGGCGTCGCAGGCGCCAGAATGGACCTTCGAGCTTTGGCTGACCTGGCTCAGCAATATGGAGGTGGTGCTGAGCACGAAGGTGGCCACAGGCCTGGTTTGGAGGCCAGAGGTGGCCGCAGGCCTGGTTTGCAAGTTGCAGCTGGTTGCGCAGGCAGGCGCAGGGCTGCTGTGCCTTTGAGGCATAAAAGCCGTGGGGCACTCTTGCGGCTGCTGGGACCAAAGCAGAAGCGCCAAGCTGAGGCTGCGAAGGCCTTCCAGTCTTTAGCCAGGCATGCCAATCGCACAGGTCGAAACAGGACTGCTGACTACAACGTGCCCGGCAGTGGTGTTTGCAAGGGCGTTTGTAAGACAGGCAAAGGCAAATGGAAAACGTGGACGCCTGACGCCGTGTTGAGAAGTGCCTTTGCAAGTGAGGGCATGGCCGTGAGGCATGTGGCCTCTCAAGTCGATGGGAGTGGCCATCGGCATGCTGCTGAGTGTAAGCATTTTGCAGCTCAGCTGGTAATGGCTGGCCAGAAGGATGGACTAGCCCAATTCTTGGCACAGGCTGCCCATGAAGCTCCAAGAGGAGACCATGTTTTTGACTTCGCCTTGACCACGTTCATGTTTGATGAAACAGAATTAGAGGTGAATTTGCACGAGCTGGGGCTTGGAGCCTGGTCTGTGCTTGCCAGTCACGCACAAGTGTCTTTCAGGCTGAATGGACACACGCATGATTTTGACATGATTAGGGCTCCTGTCGCAATAGCGAACAAGCAGGCTGTGACAATGTTCCCAGCGCTGTGCGCAGGTTCTGGTGGCCTCTGGCCTGGTTTATCAACGATCTCCTCGAAGATCAGGGCTGTGCTTGTCACGTGCGACGCAGCGCCAGCGAACGTGAGACTTTTGAATCACCTCCTGTCTGTGCAGGACCCAAGGACATTTTTGCTTCCATTGAAGTGCGTCCAGCACCGGGCTGGGAATGTGATAGAGAGAGTGACAAAGTTCTTCAGCGTTTTGACAGGCGCTTACGCCGTGTCTAAGACATTGCGTTCAGGGCATGTTATCCGAAGACTGACCCACCATGTTCGGGATGTCCTGGCTTCGCAGTTGGTGGTCATTGACCAGGTTCCTGATGGTGTTGAGGAAGAATGGGCCTCTGGCCGGGTTTGGGCAAAGCAAATCCTTGACCTGGTGAAGCACGGGGGAGAAGTGGACCAGGCGAAGGCAGATGCTCACACCCGCTTCTTGGAGTTCTTTGCTGGGCCATGGACAGGACAGTTTTTGGGTGCACAGTTGAGGGTTTGAGTTGGTTTTCGTCGACCAAGTGTTCTTTCAACAAGGTTTCCTTGTCCCTTACGACCTTACGTTGCCCTTACCCGTGGCTGTTTCGTAGAGCTCTTGGCCCTTTTTTTTAAGTTCGGCCGCCGGCTTCGCTCGCTGGCGCCATGGAAGAAGGCCAGAGGGAGTTTGTGGCCGCGTTGCGCTCACAGGGTTTGAGCAGCGGCTTTTCGCCTGGTGACTTGAGGTTTCAGAGTGTGTATGGCCTGTGGCCGACCAGCAAGCTGAGCGACCAGGACGTGTGGGATGCGTGGTCAGGCCTGCAGTCCACCCTCGCGGGCGACGCGTATGGAGGCAAGGAAGCAGTCAAGTGGGGCCGCGAGGCCTACAACTCTCGGCGCCTTCGCTGACTTGAAAGGATGTTGCCCCAAGACAATGTTTTTGGTCCATTTTGGGTGAAAGTCATAGTCGTCTAGTTTTGTTTTTTGGTGGGGGCAGCCCAATAATATCACCAATGGACCAATCGCAAGGCACCCGTTACACTTGGTCTTGGACTGCTCAAGCTTCAAGAAAGGATGCAATGGGAAACTATGGCTGGGCGGAGAGAACGCAATCATGGACAGGAATCTTCTGACTGAGAATGGCATTCAGACAATTGTACCGGCTTCCCGTCGGCCTCTTCCTGATGAAAGCATGACCTACACGGTCTTGGACCATGTTGAAGCAGGTGCCTTGATCAACGGGGACGGAGACATGGTTTCATGGCTGGAGGTGTGCGACATGCTGGCAAAGCGGCTTGAGGAAGGCCAAGGCATTCTGTTATGCTGCATGACAGGTGCTCACAAGAGTGCTGCTTTGGCCTGTGGCCTGGTTATGTATTTGACTGGAACCGCATTTGACAAAGCAGAGACCTACTTGTGTAGCTTGAGGAATTGTGTGGACCTTTCCTTCAAGCCACCTGGGAGAAGCCCCCGATCAGCCTCGGATTGGTTGTTAGAGTGGCAAGACCGCATCCTTGCAGAGGCCTGGACGTTTGACATATGCCAGGTTCTGAGCCCGCATGCCTTCCGAAAGAAGGCAATCCAGGTTGGCTTTGAGGCGATGCATACACGCCCTAAAGCCAAGGCAGCAAAGACAGGGTCTGGGGAGCAGGATCCTGGTTACAGCAGTGGTGGCTTTGAACATGGCTTCTCCACGGTTTCAAGCCAAGAGCTGAACAGCTCAATGGAGTCGGAGGCTTCTTGGGGCTTCACACCTTCTTTGAAACGCTCCTTGCCTACCGCCTCTGGCGATGGTTTTCTGGTTCTGAAGGACGAACTGGCAAGCAAAGAGATGCGGGCTGCGAAGCTTAACCAGCTATGCGCAGACCTTGAAGCGTTGGACAGCAAAATGATGGTGCTCTTGATGCCTGCAGACAAAGTAGCGATGCCCAGCGTAGCCCAGCAGAAGCAGGCCACTGCAGAGCCGACTGCGCCAAATGTCAAAGAGCAAGGAGGCTTGAATGCTGCAGCTGCCGACCAACCAGAGCAGCCCGAGGCTAGGGCCTCAGCGGATGTAGGCCAGGTTGCCGCTGCAGACAAAGTTCCGGCCACTGGCCAGGTTGCTGACGAGCCTGCGGAGAAGCCTGCTGACCAAGCAGACATATGTGACATAGACGTGCCAGACCAGAAGGATGACGGCGGCAATGTGGAGATGGAAGCTCAGAAGGAGGACGCTCACTGTGCCTGGACTAACGTTTGCTTTCTTGGTGGCCACTGGCCACGTTTCTTGTTAGCCATGTGACATGTGTTTGGCAAACTACTGTAGGCTGTAGGTAGCTGAGTCTTTCTTTTATTTCTAGTTGTAAGGGCTTTTCAGTCTGAACAGTTTTGAATCTGAGCTTCTCCTGCACGCCAACGAGGTCAAGGAGGAGAGTTCCAAGTTGATTACGCCCCTGATGAGCCTGCAGCCAACTCGAAGAAGCAGGGAGCAGCAGCGAGTGACTGTGGACGGTCTGTTTTGGAGGGTGAGAAGCAGCCACTGGACCACTCTCTCAGGAACCAAGACTCCGAGGTTATGTCCAGGGTTCTGCAGCTCCTGGAAGAGCAGCGCTTGCAGAGGCAAGCTGTGTTGGCCAGGTCTGAAGAGGAGTTGACCCGCCAGACCCTGCAAGTGGAAGCCCTCAGGGCGTTGTTGGGGCCTGAGCCCCTGACAGTCTTGGACCTTTTGGTTGATGTCGGGCCGAGCGTCGTGCTGGCCTTGAGTGACAGCGATGGCAGAACCTTGCTGCACCACGCAGCGCGGATTGGGGCATGGCAGGTGGCTGAACGCCTTGTCTCAATCAACCCACACGTCTGCGACCAATTCACCTCCCCGAGCGGGAGGCCCGCGCACTGGTCTCCCCTCATGGTCTTTATTGACTCAGGGTGTCCCGGCCTGTCGGAGTCGCAATATATGGGCCTTCTGCACCTGCTGTTGAACAACAGCTCGCTGGCGACCGTGGAAGCAAGGGCTGCGAACGGAATGAGTGCTTTGCATATGTCATGCAGCAAAGGCATGAACCGGACAACGAGAAAAGTTGTCTGGGCGATATACAATAAAGCGACAGGCAACGAGGCGGCCTTTGGCCTGGTTTCTTCCCTGCTGAACCAGCCTGATGCCCGCGGACGGGGCTGTGTTCCTTGGACAACCTGATTGGTTGTAAACGTTTTGTTGTGTTCTTTGACCGCCTCTTAGGCTTGGGCCCCAAAGCTTGAAACCTTCAAAGTCTTAAGAGTCTTAAATCTTTTAGATTTATAGTGATACTGACGCCCTTTGCCTTTCAGGTTGATTTGGCGCTGGGGTGCAACGTGGGCTTGGCGATGTGGCTCCAAAGGCATTGGAATGCAAGGCCGCTGCAGCCGCCTCCTCGAGCTTCAGCGCAGGAGTGGTATGATCGCAACCCTTGGTACCAGCGGCGGGACTGGCTCTAGGCCTCTGGCCAGGTTGCGGACTGCAGGCAGCGGTGGCTCTAGGCATCACAGGCCTCTGGCCAGGTTGCGCACTGCAGCCAGTTGTTGGAAGGTAGTCCGCCGTTTGGCCGTTCGCACAGTAGTCCCTGCGCAGCCATCTATGTGTGGAATACGCTGTAAGCCTGTACACACTGTAAGCCTAGGGTTTGATGAAAACATCCAGTGAAAGCAGATGGCTGCGCAGGCATTGGCCTTGTTTTGCGGGCAAACTCCTGCAACTCTCACTCGCGCCCAGAAACTGGGTAAACCCTTGGCTGTTTGTGTAAAGAGGGGAGTTGTACCGACATGTATTGAACCGTTTGTAGGTTTTCACTGTTCGGCTGTTTCCCCAAACGACGGTTCTTTTTCAACCCTAGTTTCCCGTGGGCCATTGACCTTGACCCCTTTCCCCTGAAGGACCGCCAACTCATGTTTGTCAAGGGTGTTGTGGGTCAGAGCAGGAGGCGCAACAGAAGGCTGTTGCTCTGGTGAAGGAAACATTCCTTCACCAGCTGAGTGTCCCGGCCTTGAACAAGTGGACAACAATACAGCCTTGTTTGACGTTGGTGTGCGCCATGCAGCAGTGGTCCAATGTCCTGCCTCAGGCCTTTGGCCGTTGTTTCCCTGAAGGGCCTCAGGCCGAGTTGAGCGAGGACGATTCGCCTGATGAAGGCGCCGCGCTGGGTGTCCCTTTGGATCAGACAAAGCGTTGGCGCAAATTGGCCAGGAAACGACAAAGGAAGGCTGCCTACTTCATGCAAGACCCACAAAGCAAGTGGGCCACCCTTATGTGGTCAGTTCTCACTGCGCCAGTCATGGCGGTTCACTACTCCTTGTTTAAGAGGGGCACTTGGCTCTCTGAGCGACGTTGTGAGAATGACGAGTTGACATCCGTTGCTAGCTTCTGCAACCCTGTGCTGAACCCTGCAGCAAAGGCTTCTGCAGAACTTGGATCGCTGTTGCTAGACACAGTCCATGCTGCCTGGGGACCGCTGGTGGGTTCCTATGGTCCTGTCCTGAGTTGGCCTCAGGAGAGATTGCGGGGCACCCGACGGGGAATCTTAATTGCCATTGGACAAATGTACAGGAAGCTCATTGAGCCCTGGCGAAGGTACCCATGGAAATTGTATGATGTGCCGCTTTTGGAAGCTGGTCTACAGCGTGACCGGGCGCGGGCCTTCTTTGCAGAGTTACCTTGTTGTTTGGATGGTTTCAGTGCGAAGCTCAAAGCCTGGCTGCAAACACCAGAAGCTTTGTTGCAAGAGAAGACGCTCACGTTTCTGCGCGAGGTCTTTGACCGGGTTGTCCTCACTTCCACATTTATAGAGCGGGCTTTTGCCCGCTTGAGCCGGTGGTGCGATCGCAAAGGTCCCAAACCCACACTGGCAACCCTGGCTGCAAAGAACGCAGTGTATCATTTTCGGTATTTGACCGAATTGTGGAGGGAGAGGGGCTTCAAGGATGGAACCTTGACAAAAGAGAGGAGCCAAAAGTGCAGACCTACTTGGGCTCATGGCGTGCGAAAAGGGCGGACGAGAAATGGCTTGCACATATTTGCCAAGGAGATGGGCCTCAAACCAAGCAAGGAGTTGGTTCGCCAGTGGCGATTGCTCAGTCAGGAACAGCGCGAGCACTATGCAACGCTGGCCAGGGCAGACAATATCCAATCGAGAGCATTGCAAGCCAACAAGGTTTCTCACATGGCTGAATCTGCAGAGGTCAGAGGTGGTTTCTGGCAAATGAGTACCCCGCATGGGTTTCCGCTTTGCCGGAACATTGTGGAGGCCAACCTGTCCAACTTGCGCAGTCTGGCCGATGAGTTCAAGCGGGCCACACGGTCTTTGTGGCCAGAAAGCCCTGACAGTTTTGACGGCGCGCCTGAGCAGCCGTTTCCCTTGTGGGCGCCATGTGACCCAGAATGTTGCCCCCACAGGCTGAGCGACGCACAGCGCTTGTGTTTCACTGCCTTGCTCGATGTTTTGAGGGAGGTCATCATGCGCAGAGGGCCCGCGGCCAGTGATGTTGGACAAGAACCTTTGCTGCTGCAGTTTTCCTCGACCAGCTTGCGGGCGACTCGCCAGGTTGTTGTCGCGTACAACACGAGAAAGAAACCAATTGACGCAGCGCTGGTCGAGCTGCAAAGAATAGAAGAGCCAAACACGAGGCCTGGTGTTTTGGAGGTGTTGGCCTGTGCGCTTGGCGTGGACGGACAGCTGCCTCTGGTTGGGGACGTGCCCTTTTGTGCGCGCTTGGCCGCAGATGCTTTGGACTGGGATATGTTTGTCTTGAAAGTGGGCCCTGTGAGTAGGCTGGATCACTTTGATATTTTGGCCTCTGGCCCAGTTGACGTTCAAGCGTTGAAAGCCGAGATACTGCGGGAGAAAGAGGCGCAAAGGGCTTTGACCGCGCTGCGCAAGATGACACCCAGGCCTGTAGGTACTGGCAGAGGCAAAGGCAAAGGCAACCGTCCAAAGGGTCTCGCTAAGGGTAAGGGTAAGGGCCGAGGCAAGCTTGTCACTGCCGACGAGCGCAGCGATGCGAGTTGTGACGATGGGGGCGGTTCCTCGCAATCAGACGCTTCAGATGACACACTCAAAGAAGAGGGGTCAGACGGGTCAGGCACTGGGGTCGCGCCTGAACAGCCGCAAGTCGCCCCTCCGCCAGTGTCTCTGGCCAGTGATGGGCCTTTGGCCAGGTTAGCTCCCAGCCAACCGCGGCGTAACCAGAAGCGCGGGAAGGTTTGGGGCACTCGCCCAGCGTTTCAGATAGCTCCAATCCATGCTGGTGGGAGCAGGACCCCCACAGGCTTTGGAGCTATATGTGGGCTGCATTGGGACGCAAGCAAGCCTGGCCTGACCTGCAAAAAAGCCATGTCGCCAGGTCAGTTGACTGCCGCTGAGTGCGAGCTCCGCCTCAAACGCTGGTTGGTTGCTGGTCTCTCCTCAGAGGGTTGGGGCGCCAACCAGAGGGAAATCCATGTCAGCATGGGCGGCGTGCAGCTCAGCCAGTTTGCTGAAGGCTTGAACTTGAAAGAGTTGGATGACCTTGTGGCTCACCAAGAGTGAAAAGTTCGCGCTGAAAGCCACGCCATATGACTGGCCACAGTGCAATGTGTTTGGGTGCATCCTGAGCCCAGCTTTTTCCTTAACGCCCCACCACGCCCAAATCCGTTTCCAGTAGATTTCGGGAAGAAAGTTGGTGAACCTTTTGATAAATACCAAACAATGTTCGGAACAATGGTCGAAACAATTGTCTTCTTTTTTCCGTACACATAATCAGTTTTCCGTACACAAAAGTATGTTTTCCGTACACAAAAGTATGTTTTCCGTACACAAAAATATCTCAAAACATTTCTCAAAACTTTTTCCCAAAACATAGCATTTTCTTTACATTTCCGCGCATTCTTTCCAAGCGTCAACAGCCCCGACAGTTGATTTAGTTGGCATGGCTTTATGATATGCTAGCGCAGCTAGGTTATATAGTTCAAGAGTTCAAAACGTGTTGGGTTCGCAGCACCTGGGGTTGCAATGTCTGCCACCTCTTCTGAGTCCTCCTCAAGCAGCGCTGCGGGGTCGCCCAAGGCAGCGGACTCTCAGCGGCCACAGGCCAGGGTTTCCAAAAAAAGGCCACGCGCTGAGGAAAAGGAAATGCAAACGGCTTTCCGAAAGGCTGAGGAGTCTGAGTTGGGCTCAGCCCACACAGGTAGCCTCTTGTCTTTGAGGATTTCATATACACTCAGGAAGGCGCGGCAATGCTTGCTCTGCAACACTTCTTCCACAGATGAATCCCCGCTCACCTATGGGGATGATGAGGTGTCTTTGGAAGTTCAAGGGCGAGTGCCCTGGAGAAGCTACGAGAAGGCTCGCGCAGACGATGGTGAGGTCTACAAGGTTCCCAGCGGGAAACTTTGCCTGGTTTGCTTTAATGTGTACCGGGCGCTGGGTCACTTGGCTTGTGTTGTGGCCACTGGCAATGTTTTTGTACTGTTGGCAGTTGAACAAGCAGCTGTTCGAGAACGCCCCGATTGTTCCAGCCTTGCAGTAGTTTGTTGTTCCTTTTCCTTTAGGAAACACTCTGGCGTTGTGCCTTTGGCCTTTCAGGCCATTTGCTGTTTGCAAGGCATTGCAAGGAGGGTGGAGTGTACTCTAGACTGCGCTCTCCTTGCAATGTCCCCCCCCACCAGATCCAAGGTCTTCACAAAGCCTACAAGAAAGTTGACTTCTACTACAAGTTCGTGTCCAGAAAGGGCAACGAGAATGAGCACAAGAGTTTTTTGCAGGCTCGCAAGGCTTGGGTGAAACAACATAATGAAGCTGGACCAGACCGCAAGAGATTGCAGAGCAAGAAGGCTCTTCTCGAGGCAAAGAAAGAATTGAAGGTCGAGCAGAAAACGGGCGGTAAGTTTATCGCCCCCCGAAAACAATTCGTGTCCTTGGAGTCTTGGGACGAAAGCAAGCGAGGGCCAGTTGATCAATCCAAGGTTGTTACTGAAGCCGTCTTCGGTAAAAGTGTTGAAGGAATCTGGGTGAACAAAGGAGCAGCTGGCGTTTTTGATTATGAGGAGTACCAAGATACTTCCTTAGTGGAACAAGAAACTGTGCACAATTCCAGCGAAACTCCTTTTGCTGAAGAATCTTTGGCTAGGAAAAGGAAAGCCCTGTTGGGCGAGCTCCAAGAAGGCTCCCAGGCCAGGGAGAAAGCTTCTGTTGAGGGTGAAGAACTGGACATGGCGGGCTTGCTTGCAGCAATCCAAAGCCAGGGGCACGCGGCCTCTGGCCAGGTTAAAGGGGAGCTTGCCAAGTCTGATGGCGCTGACGCTCCAGCTTCCGACAATAAGTCTGATGACGCAGGGACGTCCAGCTCTGAGGAGGGCTCCAACCATGCAGGACGCTTTGGCCCTACAGCCAGCAAAAAACAACAAGCAAGTCAAGGCCTCGCCAAAGCCAAACTCAAGCCAACTGCAACACAGAGCAGCCAAAACAAGAAGCCAGCAAAACCACACCGGTTCATAGATAGCTCAAACATTACTGGCGGCAGTGCCAAGGCTAAGGCTAAACCAAGTTCCGCAGGCTCGCAGCAGGCTGAACGCAAAGACAGCAGTGCTAGCTTGGAAAGCAGTGGTACCTTACTGGCCGATGGTCGCGCTCAAAGAGCCCTACGGAACTTGAAGGAGAAATTGTCTGAGTGGCAACAGGCCCTGCTGAAAATCAAGGTCGATGATGACCTGCCAAAAGCAGATGCCCAGTCGCAGGCAGCATTTAGGACGGAATGCACCAGGCGAGCTTCTGAGGCAAAGATTTTGAGCCGGCAAACTCGGGATTACAGTAAACGAATGGACAAGAGCAACAACAAATCTCTCTTTGAGGAGGACTTGCTTTCCTTAAGCAGGTTGGAACAGGCTTCCGCCAGGTTGCACTCTTGGTTCACACTTTGCGCGACAGGTAGCTCAGCGTCACCTGCAGAGATGGTCGCAGCCTATGAGAATGTTTCAGGCTTTTTTGACTTGCTGAGCTCTGATGCTTTTGGCAGCTGTTTCCAGTTGAAGTATGCTTTGGCCAAAGCTTCCCAGCACTGCCTGTATGGCGAGTATGCCCAGTACTGTTGTTTGTTCACTGCTTCCAGTGAAGAGATGAAGCCTTTGGCACAATCCTTGGGTCATCAGTGCCTGGTCGAGTCAGTTGCAGCAGAGGTTGAAGGCCGGATTTTGTTGAGCTTGAAGGCAATCAAGACAGCAGATGTGCAGGCCATGGCCTCCGGCCAAGTTGACTTACCGACAGCGCTTCTCGAGGCTAAGGATCTGTGCGAAGCTGTGGTAGCTGCCTGTGCCAAGTATGGGGAGGATGATTTCTTGGCATCTCCATTGAAGAAGCCGTGCTCTGTGGCCTCAGGCCTCCTCAACGTGGCCGATATCTCTGCCACCGCTTCAGCAGTCGAAGTCATGGAACAGTCACAGGCAGAAGAGGATTCGCATGGGTCCTTTGAGGGGGCCATCCAAGTTTTCTTCTCTGAGCATGCTGTGGGCCAGAGCTTGGTTGACCTGGCAACAGCCAGGGTCGCAAGTGGTGAAAAGGAGCAGATTGCGCAGACTGCTATCAAAGAGCTTGGAGATGAATTGCCCAAGTTGCAGGCCTTATCGCATGCATTTTGTGTACAGGGAATCAAGCTCATCAAGGATGACCTGCTTCCAGTGCAAAAGCTGCTGGATACCTGTGCAAAGTCCGTGAGCGCTTTGAAAGGCAGCAAGGGTAAAGACAAAGATCATGGCAGAGCCTATGACCGCCTCATGGAGCTCTTGGCTGGTCACAAGGCAACTTTCACTTCAGAGGTCAAGAGACTGCTTGAAGGAGAGCTGAGGGGAAATTTGGCACAGCGCTTGCACCTTGATCATTCGGTCTCTTTTGTTACGCTGTTAGGATTTTCTTCTGTTTTCTTTTTTTTTGCTACACTATGACTATGACTATGAGGCTATGAGTCTATGCTCAAAGCAGCATACTACAATAATAATCTTGGTAATATATATATTACATAGATTTACATAATAATGCTGGTTGATCAGCGCCTCTTTTTGTCGTTTTGTTCTATGGACGCCTGACCCAAGTGACCAGTCTCCATTTAGCGAAGCCCCGGAACCCAAACGCCTAGGCCTAGATAGATGGATCTATTGTTGAAGTTATATACCTTTTTGAGATGTCTGAGAAAACACGAGGCAGTTCCTGTGCAACGCCTTGAGCAATGATTGCATGGTGGGGTCCGAAGAAGCAGGTCAGACGCTCATTGAGTTGGACGAGGTTTGGTCTGGCCTCAAGCATACCTGCCTGGTTGAGCACACGTTCTGGGAGTCTGGACCGGCCACAGGCCAGGTTGAGGCTGTGTTGCGTGAATACAAAGACTTGTCGGCCACCCTGTGTGACATGGCTAATTTTGTCTTCCTCCAAAACGACAAGTTCAAAGAGAAACAAAAGCTTGACGTCGCCGCTACAACACTCAAGCGCTGGGTGGACATCGTTCCAAACAAACTCAAGAAGTGGGTCGATACTGGCTTGGCGCAACTTGTGGAGGACCGCATGCTGTCCGTCTGCCGCTCAAAGCAGCAAGCTTTGTTTTCCGCTGGGTTGACAGCGGTGGCTGAAGTAACAAAGCAGTGCGTCGCTGGGTCGCCACCTTCCTTCAACCAGGGTGCCCAGCAACAATTGCTCATGAAGATTCCCAAGAGTCACAGCCTGAGGCCCTTGGCGACCTCTTTCTTGGAGGCGAGGCCTATCAAAAGCGCTCAACGTATACCATCATGATTCATGATTTTTTGGGTTTTTATTTTTGTATGGTCCGTTCTGTTTGTTTCGTGCCTGCTAGGTGCTCACTTTGCAAAGCCAATCAGGGGACCAGCTGAAGCTGGCCACTGCCTTGGACATGACCGGCAAGCATTACCAGGAAGCGCTTTCCACTGCAGAGTGGCAGGAGGACCTGCGCAAAACAGGCCTGAAAGAGGCCAGTGCCTGGCTCAAGGCTCTTCGCCAGAAGGTTGCCTGCGAAGCTCTTGACGAGATGGAGCGCGCACACAAGAAACGATGTCTCTCCATGGAAAAAATCAAAGTGGCCAAGCTGCCCAGTTTGACGGATGAGGAGAACTATCGCAAAGTTGGGCTACGATGTGTGGGGCAATTGGCTGACGTCACGGCCCTGCTAGAAAAGGATTGCAAGGCTCTCAAGACTCTCCGCTCTGCTTTGGTGAGGCTGAAGGCTGCGCAGTTTGGCGAGGAAAACACAACCCCTCTTCTTGCAGAGCTCGAACTTGCCCAAAAGAAAGCTGGGCATGATGTGTTTGCGCCTGGTCCAGGTGAGATTGAGTGCGAGGAGCTGGTGGTACAAACAAGTTTTCATGTAGCTGCTGTCGCGGCCTTGTGCCTGGTTCGAAACCCAAAGCTTGCGCCTCCCAATCCCGATGGTAAATTGCTCAAACAAGTTGCCGATATCTCAGTCACATTGAGGGGCAAATGGGAGCTGCTACCGGAGGGCGAGCTGAAGCTTCAAGGGGGGCGTTTGCTCAGTGAATGCGAAGAGGTTTCGAAGTCCAAGGGCCAGAGAGAGCGACCGAAAATGGATGGGAATGTGAAAAGCAAACCCCCCAGCGCAACCATGCTGGGGGCAGACGCCGTCGTCGCAAAAGGAAAAAAAGATGCCAACGCTTGCAAAGATGGTGAGAGCTGCAAACAAA